ACTCGCAGAAGAATGATAAAATTTTAATTTAGTTTGGAGACTTTTCACCAATTGTTTAAACAACTCTCGAGGAATCAGAAAATCAAAATCATAACCTAAACCATCTTATGGTCGAATAAGTGCATGGGTCGAAACAGCCATCGGCTATTTCAAGTTAAGTATTAACGTAGGACACAGTTCTACGATTCCAAGATGTCTCTACATTTGGTTCAATAAACATGGTGTCTGGCACCATGCTTGTCTGAGTTTTCTTGGTAATGAATCCTGATGTGAGTCAGCTGTCACATGATCAAAATTGTGTTGTTGTTTTTTTGCCAAAAACCATCGAACGCCACAATAAACCTATTTTATTCCTTGATGAAACGAATTATTGTTTTTCCAATAGTAACGTTATATTCAAATTCTGAAATTGGGTCATAACGATATTGAATTCAAATATCTGAATGTACAGCCTATCCAATATGTTAGAACTTTGTACCCTAATAACAGGATACAAGAGATATACGAACAATTAGCCCCACAAACTTTTCGGACCAGACATTTTGGCCTATGCAGGCACGCATGAGAAAAACTTTCAACAATCTGACAATGTGCAATATGAGATATAATTTTTCTTTAATGAAAGCAAAGTATTTTGGTATTTTATTACAATTTTTCGTTACCATGATAAAAACTTTACTCTCATTGATAGAATCGGCAATCACAGCAAATGAGACCTGCGCATGGTTGTTGACAGGTTGAAGATCGTATTCCGAACTCAAGCCCGATTGGCCGGAATGCCTGGTCCGAAATCCTTATTGACCGAAAGTTTTGGTCTAAAAAGTCTGTGGACCAAAACAATCGAGTTGTCTACGTCCTATGTCAGTATGTTATACCAGTATACAGTTATATTAATGAAATAATATTAATAAAACAGTAAAACTTTAATTAACGAAATACGCAATCACAGCGCTCAAGCCGTGCGTATTGTCGAGAAACACATCTCCGCACTCCAGTATGTGTGGGCCGAAACATCCATTGGTCTGGGGTGAAACGTCGGTAAGCCATAAAGAATAACATAGGGTCATCACAGTCTGCGGACGATTTCATTCCAACCGCTATAAAACAAAAACCAATATTTCTAACCCGTTAATTTTTTCACCGTAGGTGCATAGGCATTTAGTCTACACGCTAAACCTCGAATTAACTCTCTACGACCAGGTGTTAAAGGTGTACAAACAAACCACCAAAGTACGACATTCGGAAGACCAGTGTGCGACCACCGATTTCAAGCCCTTGAACATAGTTTCTGCTGCGTCGAGACTAGAGCATACGCAGCCATGCGTAAAAAAAATTGGGCTTCTAATTGAATTTCTGACCGTCATGTATTTTAAGAACACGGTCATTTCGAACAAAACTCGTCAAATTATATACAAAGCACCGCATCACAGCAATCAAACAGTCAAAAACATGGTGGTCGCAAATTGGTCAACAAATACATTATTGACGTATTGGAAATGCGCACCCCCCTATTCCCCCTCCTTTAAATGTAGAAACGTGAAAATTTAAAGATGGTTAAAAAAAACACAACTCTACCCCCTTGCCAAGTTTCATCCTTTTATCTCTTAATTTGTATAAATTTTCAAGTTTTTTTAATGGGACAATGGGTAGTTGGCGACATGAAAAATGATCCGTTTTTTTTTCTGGTAATTTTTTTTAATGACATCTCAAGAAAATAAAAAAGCGCTTATTTCTGTCAAATTTCAATCATTAATGGTGCTAATTTCAGTTTAAGGATAACAGAATCAAAATTAATATAGGAAATTAGTTAAATACGGGTATCGGTACCGGTATCAATTGTAGTACAGTTACTTCAATATCCCGATACCACAGTCCAGTGATAGGTAATTATGTACTTGTACTGTAGTAGATTCTGAATATACTGCTTTACGGTACCGGTACCGTTACAATACCGGTACTGGTACAGGGTAACTAAATACGGTAAAGGTTCCGTACTCTGCAGTTATTCTTTACTGTTGACAAGATGATACTTGAAAATCCCAATACCTTTCAGCGAAACTGATCATTTCTACATAGTTTACCCGACAGACCATCTAGGGCTGTGTCCAGTCAGCCAGTTAATGACACAACACCACAGCCCACGCAGAAAACAAAGGCTATCCAACGACCGTGAATACGTTAGAATCACAGAACAAAAACCAGGGAGACGTTTGACGTAATATTCATGACACTTTTTGCCTGAGTCGTAATAGTCGATGGGCTACAATAACGGAAATCGATAGTCACAAGCGACTATGCCGTGAATAAGCAGAAAGAGAGTGAAAGATTTATCATCACAAAACACAGTCGATACAAGTGTAAAAATTATCCAATCCAATCCATAATTATTCCAATCAATCACGAAAATCAATATTAACGAGTTGTTAACGAAATATCGCGGATATATCCTTCAGTATTCATTTCATCACCGTGTGAAAACAAACATGGTTATTTCACACATGCACAAATGTACATGCGAAAGGACTCGCAAAAAACTGTTTAAGCTATCAAGCTGTGACATTCTATCTGCTTTTAAAATATGTGAATTATACAAATAAAATTATGAAAGTTTTTAATATATTCCCGAAATAAAAAAGTATATGGTAAGTGGGGAATTTATTTCACCTACTATTTTACCAGCTGTTGTTTGAATAAATCAAAATTAAATGCAAATAAAAATAAGAGCAAAAAGTTATCAATAAAAATCAATTCTTTTGCGTTTCCGATAATCGGTGAGAAAAACGAGTTCCAATTACCAGGTACCAAGTTCGAATTACCAACTCGATAAACTTGCATATATATATATAAACAGAAATAACACTACCCAAATATCAAAATATAAGAGAAATAATCTTGTCCTTATTGTAACCTATTCATAGCCGTTGAGAAGCTATATTTTCAATCGCTGATAGAACATTTTTAGTGAGCCATAATTAGTATATTGCGGAATTTTTAAATGTGAGGTATGGGTACAGAGGCAAGAAAGTAAATTTATAAAGCGAGAACAATAGATATTTACACCTCAGGAGCACGACGACATCCAGGAAGTATTCATCTTTCATGAATACCTCTATGAGAGAGACCAGTAAAGCCGTCTAATAATAGGTCTACAACCGCGGCCCTTTCCGACCACCGATGCAAGCCGTGTACGGGATTATAGCTAACAAATTGTTTTGTATGAGAATTAATGTACACAACATATTATGGTTCAGACATCCTAGGATTACGATTTATGAAACGAAAGATTTTTAAAGTAATTATTGCAACACAACCGGTTGAATTTGGCTCTCCAAACTAACTAATAATAATTATGGTATTCAGCACGGTAGCCATAGATATAGAGACCGTATGTGACTAAAAAACACTCTCATTATAAAATGTATCCACAAAAAAACGTTGGCTCTTAAAATCGGCTGTAACTGGAACATGTCCGATTGAGAAAATAAGTTTTCACAGAAACGTTGCAGTGTTGGGTACAAGTATCCAAACCTCGATGCCAGTGCACTCCCGATATTATAAAATAAACAACGGTGAAATGGGTGAATATGAGTCACATTAACTAATTCTTGTTTATATATTCTTCGACTATTCCAAGATAACCAACGTTATTTCGAAAATCAAGTTCTAATTTAAACGTATATTTAAATTATTTATCAACAATATTTATTCATTGTTATTGTTGCAACAAGCTGCAGAATATTGAATTTGTCCCAGACAACATTAATCGACGCGGTAAATCAGTGCTCTTCAACAGGGGTTCCGCTTAACCTTAGGGTTCCGCAACACATGCAGTGGGGTTCCGTGAGTTTATAGGGTTCCTTGGGGGTTCCGCGTAAAGGAAAAAATGACTGCTGGGCCAGTAAAGTTGCAAAAAATTAATATTCTTGTTTTCTATTTTTGGATGAATTTCTAAGTGCGCAACAGCAAGAGGGACTCCTAGATATCCGTAATGATATTAATTCTGAGGAAACCTTCGAAAAAAATGAGGAAGAATATTTTTGGATTTCTCTTCACAAAGAGGGTACAGCGATTGCAAAAATGCATTAAAACTTCTGTGTCAATTTCCCAATACCTATTTGTGTAAATCAGCATTTTCTGCTTTAACAACTATTAATAACAAAAAAGAAGTTGTTTAAAGAGTGTAGACATGAGTATGAGAATTGCTTTGAGCGCCGTGGAGCCACGATTCAAGAAGATTGCAAAGAAAATGCAAGAACAACCTAGTCATTGAATTTCACGCTTGTTACCTTCTTCCTGTTTCGTTGATGAGGTGGAAATATTTGAATTACAAATATTTCGTGTTACGAGTATTTCCTATTTTTGTTATTTGGGGTTCCATAAAAAACGAAAAATGATCTCAGGGGTTCCGCAATAACAAAAAGGTTGAAGAGCACTGCGGTAAATAGTATTTCACTAGAATTATTTTTGCAATTTTATACACATATTTGAAATTTATCTTCAGATTCCTGAGTCAAGTCTCCATGGCAGTTAGACATTTCGTTTGAATTTAAAGCTTCCATCATTATTGATGGAGCACATTAGATAAATTCTTTGCATTAATTAACCATCGGGCCACCGAAAGACTTTAATATTGTCTGTTCTCAAGAGATGGTTTACAGAGAGAAGGAGAGGTTATCATGAAGGTTACCGAAAGTTAACATATTGCACCACAATCAAAATATACCAAATAATTTAATGACATCACAAGATACTGCAATTCAGTTCAAATTTGAAAGGGTAAATTAGTTTTTAAATATACCTACTCGAAGTCAGTGTATTCTGTGTCTTGAGGACACACTTCGGTTCTATTTTTGACGCAAATGTGAATCAAACTTTCCATGCTGATAATATGTGTATCAAGGTTCATCAATAAACAAATCAAATGCGACAAAGCAATTCGGTATAAATGACAAGCTATCCTGAGTTCATTATGCACAAATAAAAGCTATTCTCATTCTCACCACTTTCTCTAGATCTTTTCGAAGGCGCATCGACGTCGCTGTTTGTACCATTACGCTTCATTTTTAAGCACTGCCTGGTTCTTCGTCGTTATCCTATTCACTGATAAATGTAGATAAATACCGTGAACGACTCTCCAAGTTTGTCCGCACGGGCTGTGTACCATGCCGCTACCGCCTGTCTGTTACGGTTTTACGCATAGTTAGTTATTACGACATTATGCTAAATTAATATTGATAAAAGACTATTTTGTTGAGCAATGTGAGCTTAAGTCGAATATTAAAATAAAGGCACATCAGAGAGATCCTAAAAGTTCGTCAATAAAACAAAATGATCGGTTTTACTTCTGTTACTTACTCTGGGTTAGCTACAATTTCTTCGAGTTGTCACTATACTATTTTTGATGTCGCCTAATGAAATAATCTACAAGCGCGTACAGCCCTACTCTACTACCTCACTAGAATCGCGAAACTAGCAGTTTCACTGAAAATGATATTTGTGAGGTCATAATGTATCAAGCCAGGCATTATTCTAATTTCAATGGAGTTTTCTTTTGCAAGTTTCGCATATATGGCTTTCTCTACCATCAAGTCCACGCATCTAAAACAAAAAAACCCATCTAATTTCATACCCGACATGAACTGGTAACCGGTAGGGCTGGGCATTTTCGAATACCTGATGATTTCAGAATCGAATCGAATATTTTTTTCGAATCGAATCGAATCTCGAATACTTGGAAGGTATGAAATTGTATGTGAATTTCTTAGTATTTTAGGTCTTTCAGACACATAAATTACTGAAAACATAGAATACATCACTGACAATAAAAAAACACGTTTTCATCAATACCTCAATACAGAAAAGAGTCATAAGTCAGAATTGTGTTGAAAAAATATGGCTTCAATGAAAAAAAAATTGAGAAATTTACCTCGACCATTGGCGGAAAGAGTAAAACAAGATGGCGGCGATTCGAAAATGTGCTCTAAACCGATTCGAATAATTTACTATTCGATTCGATTCGAATATTCGATTCGAAATGCCCAGCCCTAGTAACCGGACGAGAGGCATGATCCGCCATATAATTAGGCCGTTTATCGACTTTCCTCTTCTGCGGGATAAATATGAAAATACTTTCTTATAAAAAATTGTAAATATTACATTACCACACTCGGCTGTTAGGGCCTCGTGATTAGAATCTCCTGGGAGATATTTGTTTGTGAGAAGAATGCTTCTCGACTTCGTAGGGTGGCTCATGGTTCTCCAAGCACAAGTCTATACATTTTAGACAAATAATAGCCGAGTTAACTATTTCCATACCAGCGACAGACGGGTCACCGGTCGAGAGGCCGTGATTTGACCCTATTATTAAGCAAATTTCTCTTCGTATAACATAATACGACGCTTACTCGTACTTTTTGCTCCGAGCAAAGCCAGATAAAAACAGCCAGTGATATTTAACAATATCTTGCAGAATCTTTCTACACTCTACATACCACTTCGCCGTCGAATTATTCAAGGTATATAAGCGCGCATTTTCATATATCTTGGTTGGTTCATTTGGTTAACGGAATATTGATAGGGAGCCAGAAAACGTCTGGTTTTCAGTAAATCATTCGAGAATAAAGCGAAATGGTGTTGGAAAAGTCGTAAGAATTTATATCTCACGGCAAATGCCGCAAAATTGCATTAAAAAAATGTTGAAAATTGGGGGGTGGAGCAGAGGCGTAGTCAGAATATTTTGCGCCCGGGGCAAACTATAAAATTGGCGCCCCTACCTCCACGTTTAATCATATTTACTATTACATTTAATTGTTTATGTAAAAACAATTCAAATTTTAATGGAACATTTTATTTAAGGAAGAATCAAAGCTTTACAAAATATAGCATATATATGTCCATAATGTTCCACTCAGTCAAAGATGATTTACATAGTCTACAATAAATTAATTTTTCTTGATTTCACTGTCGCAAACTGGTTAATCACGTCATCCAAATCTGTTTTTTCAATGCTCCCGAAAACAAATAACTGGCTAACTAATCCCATACCCGACCTGGACTGGTAACCGGACGAGAGGCCGTGGTTCGCCATATGATTAAGCCGTCTTATCGCCTTTCCTCTCTCCGGGATAAATATGTAAATCCTAAGCCCCAGTCTGCAATCGGGACTGGTGGGTAAAAAAACGTTCCATTGACTTGCTAAATACCACTGCGGCCCAGTCTCGAAGCTAACCAAATTATGATCACAATCCTTCGAATGTTGGTATAGTTACAGAGCTTGGTCTTGTCCACTTGTTATTAACTACCCCATAACAAATGTGAGAGGAATTTGAAACATGTTTACAATTGTTTGTATTCAAATACAAATTCAAACATTACATACATAAAAGAATCAAGAAAACAATATGTGAGAAAAATATCTGGGCAACCATCATTGACGAGTACAGAGCTGAAGGCACGATTTGGTAACAAGGATACAGGTCCATACTAGGAGTCATAAATTGCCAGTGAATCAATTTACCTTTTTACTATATGTTTATTATGGTACACTTCACATGATTTTTCATTGCATAGATTGAAAGGGACAATATCGCTCATAGAATTACAACACATAACTTATACCTTATAAAATTATATCACATAACTCATCAAATGGAAGATATACCTGTTTGCCACACCAGTTACTATGATGTGAAGTCGAAAAGAATTATTGATATTATGAAGTGCCAATCAATGTGTCATGCAACTATGTTACAAAGCAAAACTAATAATTCTCAAATGCAACATATAACAGATTGAATGAAATAAGGATGGAAAATTAGTGCCCTATTATCTTCTTGATAATTAACGTAGTTTAAATAAGTCTAGAATATTGTTATGTGTAAAAATGCCTTTTTATCATCATCTTGAAAGCCAAATTAGGTAATGATATTACAATTAAGCCTAACTGCCTAACAAGTCCAACGAAGCTCATAATAGAGTAAACATTGACAAGAGTTAGATGTTATGGCCATAAGAACCAACAAAAAATGGAAAAACATCAATACTATACACAGACCAACCGGCCAATCAAAAATAAAAAACGAACAATAGAAATATCCACAACACTTGTAAAATTACAGGTCCATATTCAATCATTAAATTCCACAAATGCATGGATACCTGATCAGTCGTTAAAGAATGCTCCATTCCTGCCGGTAATATCCACTTGATATTTGAATTGGAGTGAAATTTAAAGCAAAATTCTAGAATACCAACTATCGTATTTGATTGGGCATGCCAAAAATTGACCAGAAATAGCAATGAATTATGAAGGTTTAACTGTTACATTGATATAATACTTTGCCGAAGCTCTGAGCAAATTTCAGAGAAATATGAAATAAGCATCAGTGGAACATACCATATAAAAATGGCAGCATCGTATGTCTGTGGGCCAAAGCTCACAATTTAATATTATCGTGAAAATTATTTTTGATTTGTTCATTGTTATCTTCAAAAAAAAAAGATTTTTCCATGCCAAAAAATGCAGCTATAAGGAATTCAGTCAGCTGCATAAAACTAGATTTTTGCCATCAATTAAACATCACTAAAAATTGTGTTTCATTCAATAAATGCGGAATTTTTATTAGTGCTAATCATGTTTTCCTTATTAAATCAATGTCATTAAGCATAGATGGTTTAAATTGAAATGGTTATTTATAGAAGAATTATACTAGGTAGTGTATAAACAAATGTTTAGTGAATACATAAAAGAAAAAATTCTGAATTGCCTAATGCAATATCACACAATATAGCAAATATAAATACTTATCCACATAAGTATTTTTCTTGCATCTTCAATGGCCACCATGTTAACTGAACAAAAATATGGTACAAATTAGCATTTGTAGTGCAATACTGAGACTGAATAAGAATTTTTTAAATTGCCCACTGCCTTGTGACTGAGTGCCATTTCTACTAATAAATACTCTGTTTTGAATGAAAATTTGGAAAATTAACCCAAAATTGTTAAAAAAAACCCACACATAGACATAAAGTTCCTAATTTTACATGTAAAGGAGATATATAGAATCCTCAGTCTAGCACGCTTGTTCAAATGTGTAACATTCACGAAACATTATAAAACTAGTGAGACAATTGGCACTAATTAATACCAAAGAGACAAACCAAGAAATAAGAAAAGCGAGTAAAAATATGGCATTGCACGTTATACAGAAAACGGATCAACTATATACAATTTCATTTAAAATATAAAATTATGTGTACCACTAAAATATACCTCTGATCAGTATGAAATACCGGTAAAATTAAGTCATTCCCAAATTTAATTTTTTCTCTCTCTTCCTCTGTTTAAAGTATTAATAGTATAACCATAAATAGGATTCAAAATTCAATAAGGACAGGTTCTCGTTTCACAAAACTATGCCGAATTTATTGTTTTAGAAAATCAAGATCAAATTAACAGTTTTCCGCAACATTCCAAGAACGGGTCTTCCGAATTCCCTCATTAGTCATAACTCATAAAACAGACAGTTCAGTATAATAAGTGAAAACAATTGCGTTTTTCAGTTGAATATATCAATGTTTAAATAGTAATTATTGAGATGAAGTTTTTTATTGAAAACAAAAGTCAGTGGCAAAAGTCAATTGAATATCTTTCTGTTTGTGTTTTAAAAGATAAGAAGGCTGATCGTTCAAACTCCTATTTGGCTTTGTCACGATGATATCTTAATAACACAAAATACCTAAAATGTGTAATTTTTATTTCCGCGCCCACACAAAAATTGCCCATGAATATTCAACAATTATCGGTCCACATAGTTTTTGGATAATAATATAAATAAACTGAATCCCCTTTTTAGATAAAAATGAACATCGTTCAGCTTATAAAAAAAAAGAATAATATCATATTTGGCAATTTCGAAAAACAAAAAAAATTGAAAAAGGTGTTATTCATTTTAAAAAAATCGTTAAAAAGAGAACAAAAACGAAATTACGCTAAATTCATTCTTAGTGCACATATTCAGAAAGTGCCCGCAAACTTTTGAAACTTTTTTTTATAAAATATCTAGTGGCAATAAAAAATACCAGGTACTGGCAGGCAATCAAGAGCAAGTTCAAGTTTACTAGAAAACAATATTTTCATTGAGTAATGTCTAAACTCAAATATACTTCACATTCACAACAGTTCATGGTAGCGTATCGAAGAGAAAGTTAAGACATATTTGTCGAGAATACACTTAGTTTAATCTTATAAAACATTGAATATGAAATAGTTTTCTATTTAGAATATGATCATTACAAGCAGGGGGTTCCCAAACTGGGGGTCACGACATGGGGTGGCATGCGCAACAAATTTTAGGGGTCATAAAGAGTACACCAATTTTACAAAAAATACTATTTAGTCCTTTTTAAGAATTTTGAAAACACAATTTTTCAAAACACAATTATTAAAACCAGTGCAAAACATAAATCTCACGATTTCGAGAGAATTTATAGAATCGGGAATGCGGCAGGCTTGCATAACAATGCCAACTTAGCATGGGTCACAGAAAACTTTAATATATTGAAATAGGCTGCGAGCTTAAAAGCTTGGGAAGCTCTGCTATAAGTAACATCCAAAATTAGTTAATAATACACCTTTCGCTCTTGACAAGGCTCTGCATAACCATCCATTATTATGTAAGGGCTGGAATCTTTTTGACTCGATATTGCTTCCCTGATTTTGTACACCATGGGTGAGGTGGTGGGATGGGATTTGAACCCGAGATTGTAACCTGTGAATGCTGTGAAGCAAAAACAGCTAAGCCTAATGCTTTAACCACCGGGCCACTGCACCCAGTAAAATTCCTATAAGGCACTTATTTATCATTCGCAAAAAGAAAACATAGCAAAAGTGATGTTAATGATAAACAGCATTAGGTAAGTTTCCGCAATACTTATAAATTTGACCCAAGTTATTCAGCAGTTTGTTGTCATGGGCCTAGCGATCTACAACGCCATATTAAAAATTCAGGTCAATCAATAACGAACCATATTTTGAAAACTGAACATATGTCCAAGGATATAAAAACTTATTAATTCATGCTCTCTCCATTAGTTCACTAATGTTACTTTTAGTTTATAATTCAGAAATTATTTTTCAGTCTGCATTTACTTCTTTATCACTCAAAGTCTTTAAAGAATTTCGATTTTCGGTTGAACATCGGTACTCATGGGAATAACATCTTCGCTAAAATTGTCAGCGAGAAATAGTCCTTCTCGTGGCTTTGTGTTGTTATTATTATTAATAATAGGGGTGCCAGAAATGTCTGTTAAAACGAGAGACGTCGCTTTGTAACAATTCGCATCGAAAGCTTCGTTTTGACCGTCAGCACTAACTTTTGGTAATGTGTTCGACTGCATAACTTCCATACCATCATTCGCAACAGTCGAAGCAATTTTACCATCTGCAGTGCCTTCGTAAGTATCCGCTGTAAAAAAGATTAGTTAATTTTAAAGTGAATTTAAGGTATTGCATTTAATAAAGCATGTAATAACCTATTTGAAAAGATAGATGCTAGATATATTAGTGTTAGTGGCTACTAATGTCTAAAAATAAATGAAAAATATAATAAATTTGAAAAGACGATATAACCATTACTAATTACTATTATCCCAAAATAAAATCTTTGGGTTTAAGAACAGCATCCAAATGTCTATTCACTTTTGATTGCAATGAAAAGCTGAAAATTGATGAATATTTTTTTCTATTTCTAAAACTTATTCAAAGCAAGGTCACGTGCACTCCCTCAGAAATAGAGAGTTTTATATCAGAGCAAATTTACAATCAACCACTAATGGTGACTTACAGCTACTGAAACTATAAATCATTACAGTGTAGAATTGCGCTTAGTAATTACCAATTAATCAATGTGAGATCTGAAGCAGTTCATGCCAATACATTTGGAAAAACAGCTACGATGATAACAAAATAAATATTAACTATTATAACGGATAAAGTAGATAGTGAGATAAAGATTGGATAAAGTTGATAAAGATGGCAGGACGAAACTATTATGTCAAAATAATATGTAGGCTACATGTCTTGCAAATTTCAACCCTAATAAAACACCTAAAATACTGAAATAAAAAGTAAATTTGAGATAATGAAATGCCCAAGTTCTATTTTGTTTTTCAATTAATATTCATAAATAGTTGAAAATTGCAGAAGCTTTGTACCTATCTTGTGATTTTAGGTTGATTTTCACTTAAAGTTCAAATAGCTAAAATCCTGTTCTAATTTCAAGGTTCCTCACAAACTGTGCCTTCACCAAAGGTGGGCCATGGTGCGGTTCTCTGGGGGTTCTATTTGCGACGAGTACATTTTTTTTTTAAATAAATTTATCGTAATTCAATCGATTCTTCAACTTTTTGTCTATGCCTATTATTACAAAATAACTGAGGGGGGAAGCCCTCAACAATTTATTTTTGTACTGAAGAGCAAGATGCAATAGAGTGTGGTGTCTTTGAAGGAAAGTCAGACTATAAAAGTTTTGGAACCATCAACCTATATCTATTTGAAGATAAACAATCCATACTTTGTTTCCTATAGCTCTCATAACATCATTGTTCAATTAAAGTACGCTACCACATATGACTCCATGAATATATATCATAAATTATAAATAATACAATACAAACCTCCTAAAAGCATTTCTTGAAGCAAGTTGTCTATTCTTGCGACACCAAATATTCTGACAAATTGAATTTGTTCGATCATTTGCCACGTAATGCTTTGTAATGTTGGTAGGAGAAGCAATATCTCACCAAATCTAAATATGAAAAAGAGGGATTTCCAAATGAAAAAAATAAGATTATGACCATAAACGGGCGACAAAAAAAAAAAAACCCAGGTCATTTGAAACATATTCTAGAAATAACATACTTTTGTGCAAAGCGTCCCTTATTATTGATACTTTTGAGTATAATCATACACAAAAAAATATTCAAGTGTTGAATAAATTATCTTCAATTTCAAACGAGTAATTGAGAAATTTAATGGATCTGTTTTTTTGGCTTACGCTGTACATATCTTTAACTATTTATATGTAAAGAGAAATTAGCGCCCACAGCTGATAATTGCACATGAACTGTTAATGTGGACATAAGCGTAGTTATCAGTCTCAAGATGTAAAGGTGTAAAAAAGTTTATATTCGATTGCCAGTAACAATGCAACTATTTCTTATTCCCAATTAAAAGATATTAACTGGTAGCTAAATGTTCATACACTTGGCACGGCATTACAAATATGGCTGCTGGGGACTATGCCAGCCAATGCTTACAGTCAAAAAATTTGCTGGCGGGAATTCCTTGAGAATAATTTGTTACAGGGTGATCACTTATGTTCAATTAGCCATAGTTATATCGTCAGACATCATGAGCTGCTCGTACAGGACCTAGTTTAAAGCAGAAGGCACGAACATGGGTAGTATGAAAATGAAAAAGACCAGTTTTCTAAATTCAACAATGGAACATTGACTTGATTGTAATCTGCAAACTTGCACTAGAAAATAAGATTACGATACAGTAAGTAATAATAATCAATATTTTTTAAATAAACAAGAGAACACACCTTCCTCTGCATTCATATTGATGATCGTTAATATAATCTTCTAAATTACACATCACTTGAAATCTCATGGATTTAATTTTTCCTGGATCTTGCAATCCTTTTGCATCTGTAAGATTGTAAAAAAAAAAACTTATTAGTATTACTAGCAAAATAACACACAGATGGCTTCAAGGACAAAAAATTGAAAAAAAATTATAAAGACTGGAAAGAATGAAGAAAAATAAATTTGAAAGGAGTTTAAAAATCATGTTTGAAAATGTTTTTTATTTTTCTCAAATTAGTTTAAGATTCGGATTCTTGAAAAAAAAATTTTGAAAAAAAATGAAAAACACATATTTTTGATTTTTCAACTTCTCTTAACTTATTATTGAACTGTGACAAAAGAATTATTAAGTAGGCTAACCGAATTTTCAAATTAAGCCCTCAAAGATAAGTCATACCTGGATCAAAAAAGACAATGGCTTTTAAACAAGCGAATTCATTTTCATCGAGGACAAGTTCACTCAACGGCCGAACAATTTCATCCAATACTCGAACTGCAACTTTACTGATCTCTACTTCAGGACAATGTCTGAAAAAATGGTTAGAAAAAATTTGCTAAAAATATTATCTTCTGCCATGTTCTATTTTCAACAAGTAATAGGTCAAATACATATGGCAACATTCAAGATATTTTAATGTTTTATTGATTTGGTTTCTGCGAGAGTAACTACTTATCTTTCTTCCATGCCAGGGGCAAAATGTTTTAGACAAGAGCCTGATGCAGCAAGTCAGAAATATGTGAGAGCCGCATTATTTTTGAGAATTATTAATATTAGAATACTGTGAACAGAAAAAAATTTACACAAACATCTAATAACAATAAATATCAAGTAATATATAAGTATTTATCGCGAGACCAAATTAGAAGTAGTTGACTTGTGTGTTTCCAAAATATCTGTGAGTTTTTGAAAGTGTGGGCGACATGCAGTCAATGCAGTGCGAAAAAATCACTTTAAATATGCTTACATATATACAACCAAAATAGTAGATCATCTTCTTTTCATTTCAAACAGACATAAAATTAAACAAAATGAGCTATTATTAAATAATAATCAAGCAATCAAACTATTTGTTCAGTACTCTGTAACATTCACCCCAGCCTGTTCGATATTTATCAACCTACCTTGGAATAATAAAATCATTCCCGAGCAGTAATAATTGTCTGTATGGCAGCGATCGCTTTGCAACCCCTAGGAGTAAATGTTCTCCAGCATGAGCTCTTAATAAAGCAACCTGAATATAGGTAACAAATAAAATCATATTGTGATCTAGTATAGACATGCAAAAAATGAAGTTGTACATGTTTTGAATCCGAGAGCAGAGGTAAAAAAGAGCACAGACAATAAGTATTAGGAAAGCACTCCACTAATAATAACCAGCATAGGCTGAAATTTTCATCTTCATATTGTATCAAAATTTTTGAGGTTCAATAAACTAATCAGTATGTATATAATAAAGCAATACCTGATCATCCAGAGGTAATTCTGAGAAAGCGGGAATATATTTTGCCCATTCAACAAGAACAAGAAGTTGTTGTTTTATTGAATCACATACGTCATTTATAGATGCGATCTTTTTTGACGCAATGGCATTAGCGTCCAATATTTCTTGATTTGGCGAACTTCCACCGGGCCCACCGAACTGAAAATACCAAAAACGAATGCACTACTCAAAAAATTGTTTGAATTATTTGTATTTGTGCATGTTGTTTTAACTTTTTGTCAGAATAAACTAGAAGCAAAATGAAGTGAAGCTTCATAATGACTAAAAATGAAACTAATTTGAATAAAATCAACATGTTAATGCAAAAATAGAAAATTTGCAAAAAATAAAAAAAAAAACAGTTGAATTCGCGATACATAACTTTTTTGAAATGGTGATATCTATTTCAATATTAAATGAAATCCCTTGGTTATACTCAATGACAAAGCCGTTATACCTGATGTGATAAAGATTCTGCATTCAATAAAGTAGCAACAGAAAGTGATGAAGTCATCTTCATATTGGTTTTTCTTGTACTAATTCTATCTCGTTCATTTTGGACAGCTATTAAAAGAAATATAATAATGTTAATATAAAAATACGAAATTGGTTAAGTGATCTTGTGAATAGACAAAGAAAATAGGTTGAAATATGTTCACAAAGAATAATGCAATCATAAACCCAAGAAGGCAAGTCTTAACTTGTTTACTATTTTGCCCAAAGCAAAAGAGAGAATTACTGAACCATGGGGTATCGCTTGACTATCTGCCAAACAATTTCACATATTTTGTTTTCATGGATAAAATTGACTCATTTCCTAGAAAAAGTATTATATACAAGTTATCTCAGGACAAGCATGAACCATGTGTAACATACGACTAATCAAATCAAATCATAACTAGCATAGAAAAGTTTTTATTGTTTTGGAAATGAGAAAAAAATTAAAACACCTAAATGGAGGTCTTTGTTACTCATGAAAAACATGTGATATAGAAAAGGCTGACGGCACCAAAACATTGTCCATAATAAAAAATAAAAAGAAATTAGGAATTACTAACATGATACAATATTTTATTATTTATAAACAATTTGCGTTGTACTATAAAAAATAATTGAAACTATTCAAAAAAAATAATAAAATTTAAAAAAAAGTTATGACGATTGTCAGAGATTTTGAAAAATATTTATTACATATACCGGTATATATGTTTATTTACCCAAATTTACTATCCCCATTTCAGGCTTGTCTTTACTAATGGAGTAAAACATAATGTCTATTACACCTTCATTTATGAATATTAGTAATTTATGTAACATTCATACGATAGTTCATTTTTTACCATTCAGTAGCTTAGAAATTGTGTGTGTTGATCACTCAGCCATGATTTACATAGTACATTCCTTCTAACAAACAAACGGACACACTCTTACAAAATCGGATTAGTCACTAACATGTATATTAATAAATAATTAAAATGTAGGAATATCAATTAAGAAAATACTTTTATATCAGTTTTAATGATGCAATATTTGCAAAATTGGGACACAATAAATAATCTAAGGCTCCAACTCTAGTAAACCATTGGAGGCCTATCCTTTTAATTAATGATTTTATTATCCGTAATGATCTAACTTAATCATGCCTGAAACTAAGAAATTTAGTATGTTTCATGTATGTCAGAATGTGAACAACTGAACATTATCACCTCGTAAACAACTCAGCTGATTACTAATGGCATACAAAACACAAACTTCTTTATTTGAATTTCGTAATAGTTTTGTGTCAGCGATTATTGGCTTACATCTTAAATCACAGTAAAGCAATACATATATCACAATCCCATAGAGATAACATTCAACAATTTTTACACAGTCTTGTATGGGCCATAATAGCAAGGGTCTTAGTAAGCAAAAAATGGTGTCCACACATGTGCAAAACAGCATAATAAACTATATATGTAAAGGCAAATATTATGCACACAATTAAAGATACTTATGAAAATGCTGATGTTTTGCCACGCAAGCTAAATCGAGTCTTTAATAAGTTATTTTATACCGGTATATGTAGGAAATATTATTAATTGGGAATAATTTAATCAATCAGAAGTTACATGGGAATTTGCTAAAGTTACTAATTTAATTATAAATTAAGGAAAAATTCTTGAATCAAGATGTCATGTGCCATAATGGTGTTGTTTTATTGTATAACATGTCAAGGGATTTAAGTCCAAACTTGAAATAGCTTTTCTAAGAATATGAGGGAAAATGATAACTTTGATTTCTAAACGCATGTAACCTTTTATTGAAATAGTCTAGTAAGGGTGCTTCAAACTATGATTAAATACAAGCTTATTGAAGAGAACCTATTTCTTTGTAAAATTTTTAAATAATTTTTTTCCATTTTTCAACATTTGCCTCTTTGGTGTGAAACTCTATATATGATATAGGAATATACAGTCATTTTATTCAAATTGGATATCTAAGCATCTAAAATTTTACTATATACAATCAGGACATTATAATCAATGTACAAATTGATATTGATCACAATAATCATGTCAACCTCTTGTAATCGGTTACTTTTACACATAGGAACATTGTTGACTCTAGTGACGCCATAAAAGCTAATTTATTGGACTTTAACAGCAGAGGGATGGGTGGACTTTAACCCCTGATGGTTCAAAGTCTCAAATATCAGAGAGAACAAGAGTCGTCCCACTTCCTGAATGATATATACATAAAGGAATATTGGTATTGAATCCTACTCTAGATTAGCTGAATTTTAGCTGTTATTAACATTAAATTAACGTTTTTGAAATAAAAATGAAATCCTGCTCATACTGGAAAAGTACCTACCGTATATCTCAATCTCAAATATTCTTTAAAAAAAATAGTAATGATACTTGTGAATTAGGTGTTACAGCATTCAGAAAATCAAAATACTGCTTTGTTTGTGTCGCCTATTTGTTATAACACAAGGTGTTCATAAAATATTGAAATTTTTTATATTACAAACAAAATTTATGGATACTATATATAGTTTCTTGGCCCCTATATTAAATGACGTAAAGAGTTTTATTTCTAAGGACTAGTTGAAATAAAACAAACCCGGTTAAGATATATTAAAATATAACTTCATAACAAAATTGAAAATGTGATGAGACTCTATAATAAACACTCTGTAATATCCCGAGTAGAATATTCAAAAAATAAAGTAAAAATAAAATAAACATTCTAGATTATAAAAAATAGATGAAAATGAAATAAAGTTTGTCCGTCTGACCCACGAGCCATGTAAGTGTGACGTAGAAAGTTACATTTTATGAACAATATTCACAATATTACGAAAGCAAAAGTAGGAAACAACAAGCCTCATGCCAAAACTAAATTTAATTGCAATCCAAACAAATTCATTGAGCTATTTTTTTTAGCTGAAACATCAAAATTTGGTTTAAGTTTGGTTGTGGCAGAATCAGGCAGGCCTTATTGAATTACCCAACGGGCCGGATTTGGTATGCGGTCCGTAGTTTGCCCATGTCGGGGCTAGACTTACCGGTAATTATTTTTATTGAAAAACAAAGACTAAACAAAGAATAAACTAGTACTAGAATTTTTTGGGTTTTCATATGTATCTCACAGGGAAGTGGAGATCAATCAAAATTGGCTAAATAGAGCGAGCGATGCATGTGAAAAAACATTCCAGCATGACATTCGTCACATTCATATTACCTTCTTTCTTCATCCCAGCTCTGAAACATTTTCTGAGTCTGCAATAACGGCATTGGTTACGTTTGTCCTTCGTAACAATGCAGTTCCGACTGAATCTGGAATACAATAAACATAAGCATCATATTTCGACATAAGATATATGACATATATACATGCAAAGAAAAGTGAGGAGCTAACATTTCAGAACTGTTACAACCTTTAAATATTTGTTATCAAAATTTAGCTTTTGACAGATAAAAGTCAAAACACATTGCAGAAAATATATTCAAAAATAATGGGGGAAATTTCAGCGATTTACATTCAAATTTACATTTTGATGCCATATTAAACAATTTAGAAAAACTGAAGGTAATACATAATGTAACAATAATTTCTCTACCAGGCGGATCAATATACAAAGTGTTAGTCTTGCAAGATAAAAAGAAAACAAACAAAGCTTATCATTTTTTTCGATAAACCGTTGCATATTTGAAAATCACAGCCCAACATGAAAATTAAGCAACTCAGGTCACCAGTTTATTTAAAAAAATGAAAATAGTAAATTGTATTTCCAAGTAGTGACCTTTATATAAACACATTATTTTCTCAATGCATTACATTGAAGTGAAAACCTGAAATTTGCAATATTCGCCAATTATAAAGTGATGGGATACCACTTGGTTTTGAGTTAGCAATTCAAAGTTTAAGTTCAAATCTTTCCCATGAGAATTAATGCCTAGTAAATCTTTTACATGCTACGGGAGGTAGTTGAACAATGAACATACCAGGAGTGTACGAAAATCACAAAATGTTCAGATCAATATCAAGAAGTATTTTTAATAAGTATTCATATGTCTTTCGCTTCGAACAAGCTTCCAGACAAGCAGACAATGCTAACTCAATTAAGAGCAGCAATGGTTTGAAGAACCCAAATACTTCCGTTTCGGCATTGCCTAACTAATTTAATACCCCGGGCTGAGGTGACGATCATGGGGTTTTGACCCAAGATTTTGACCATGAACTGTTGAGAGAAATTTACTATTTATTTTACCGTTACTATTTATTTTATCAAATTTATTATTAAACAGTTGAAAAATTGTGAAATAATCTAAGCAATTATCATAAAAATCAACTAGAAATAACATGAGTACCGGTATTTCCTTTATGAAATCATAATGACATCTTGTTATTTTGCTGGAATTATTCCTTCGAGGAAATTAGTTAGATATACGAACGATTATGTTTTCCTGTAGCAATTAACTGAGTATTTGCAAGTTTAGCAAAATTGTCGGCACTCTGCAATGAATGTCATTTACAAATGCACATATAGGCTACACACACACCGCGTCATGAACTAACACGAATGCCTTGCTTGGAACGGCTTGAATGAGGTCATAAGCATGTGACAAACTGACCACAGTTTACCAATAATAGGTATTAGTGCCAACTGCCAATATAGATTAAAACCTGACTAGAACTTCATTGAAGTATAGGTGGACGCCACAAAATAGAACCAAAATATTTTTATATTTACTTCTATGGAAATGAAGAAAATTTACCAACAAACACTTCTGTTTGTGAATGACTGTAAGCAAAAGTTGCGGTAATCTATGAAACTTGAAAAATTATGTTCGTCCAATGTGGGTAATAAATTGAGTATGTCAAAATTCCGTATAGTGAATAATAGTTTCTAGTCATGCAAGAAGTTTCTAGTCAAGCAATAATTGCCCACAACATTATTTCAACATAGCAAGGACGTGATTAGGACCCACAGTGTTCTTTCTAACCAAGTCGCGAAGTAATGCAAAAAACATACTAACCTTTTAGTTATAAATGATAATAAGATTAAAGTGTCTACAAACCTGCATTGATATTGGTTGTTCTTTCTTACGCTTCTTCGAAAAAAACCTTTGCATCCATCACAACTGCTTGCTCCATAATGTTTCCCAGTTGCACGATCTCCACATATTGAGCAAACTGGAAAAAATAATAGAATAAGAGATCAGCATTTTATTGGACACATACATACCTGGTTAAAATTGCAATCGCATAAGCCTACCCCTTAGTTTGGCAACTTTTTTCCCAGTTTTAAACTCGGCTTATATGTGGGGATATCAATGACAAAGGGCATGATATTATGCAACAATGGCATGGGCCTAGTGGTTAACAGAGAAAGTGGATATCGAAGGTTAATGGGATTTTTTGTTTCGACTGGTACAAAATATTGTTTAATATTGACAAAGAAAACAAAAAGTGCCTCAATTTGTTGAAACTTTTCAGAACAAAGATGAAATGCTAGCAGTTTGCAGCCAGCAAGATTAGTTACGAGCAAACAAAGAACTCCTTTTCCCAATTTTTGAGTCAGCTGATAATACCACACGAAAACATAGTATTTAGTGGTATATTATCACAAAACATCTCTCAAAAAGATAAAAAAAAAATTGCCAAAGGCAACGGATATTTTATTCGCACATGATTAAGACCATGACATGCCAATAAATTAAATACAGGTGAGTATAACATAACAAAAATTAAAGAAGGGCTATACATGGCCTGAGGAGTATATGTTTCTTTTTGATAATAGTTAATAATTGGATGAGGGAGGTTATTAAAGGTCATAACAAGTAGCTTGAAACACAAAGGTTAAAAATCTGACCTTCTCAAATTGCTTAATCATCAGTTACTCTTTATTTTATATAAACTTGAATATAATTTAGAATGTAAAGTAGAATTTAGTTGATGAGAATGACCACTGTGTGCCTGTTTAATTAATTAAAGGCTCGTATTATTAAGGGGCTCACAACATTTATCTTATTACATTAGAAGTTTATGAGCATTCCAAAATTGCATTCTATTGCGCAGAAAACATATAAATTAGCACACTACTCTACTATAAAATGGTATTTAAATTTACAAAATTTAAGAATAATTACACTCTCATAAACTTGCAATTTGCAATAAAATAATGACCATTCGAATCTAACAAAGACCTTTAGCTCAAAATGGATGGTTTTCAGTAAATGCTATGAATTTTCGTACCATGTAGGCTACAAGGAACAAGTGTCCTCCCATAAAACACATTTATCTTACGGTAAGTTTGAGCTTGGTGAAAAGTCAAAAATAGGAATCAACTCAATTGTATGTTTTTTTAAAAAAAATCTGTTACTGCCAAAGTTTATTATGGGGAATTCAAACTTTTGCTTGGTGTAAGGCTCTTACACAAGCAGCACTTATATTTGGAAATATTGGAATAATTGAAAAGCACTCAGATTGTGTGAATTCCAAAAATTGAATATAAACAGCCCAAGAGTGGATGAATCAATGGACAGGCTATTCATGATATCCGAGACTTGTTACTTGGAAAATCAAAATACTAAGGTCAAAATACCGCCTATAAGTAAAGTATATTTAAAAAATTTACCATCCTATAGGCCTATGTGAAATTAGTAATATATTAGGAAATATAAGCATTTGCTACATATGGGAACTAACGTTAAATCAATAAAATCGAAGTGAATTTAGTCTGTTACATATCTAGTATGCCCGGTTGGTTCTATTTCAATATAGGAGAAATGTAATCGGACAAAAAAATGTTCATGACAAATTCATGCTTTACATTGATGCAAAAACATAATATAAGCATACCCTGTGTCTGAAATGAAGCATAATATTAGAAAACATTCATAAAAGATGCATTATATAAAAACTTTCATTTAATATCGATATCCTTAAAAAAATACAGAAAATATTATTTGAACCTTTCTGCACGAAAATGAATTGATTTGAGCTAGTTAGAATTGAATAAATTAGTTGGATACTTTGTATAAATTCGAGTTTTCAAAATGTTTACCAAATGTACAAGGTGATCATAGAAGCCTGAAAAATTCGAATTTCATTCGAATTTCATTCGAATTGAACCACCTTAACATGCAAAAAAAAAATATAGAAATGAGTGTCAGGATTTTACTCACATGAACGAGCTCCATCACCACTGTTATCTCCTCCATTAGACTCTTGATCACTACTTTTATCCGTCACGTCGTATTCCGCCATCAAAAACACTGTTGTTGAATCTGCACTTTTAGCAGAAGATCCTCCGAAATTGTCTCGAGGTTGCAATGCATTAAACATGGGTTACTGTTATACTAAGCTAAGACTTGTCATTGGTCGTGCCATTATTATGCAATAACAAAACAATACCTTAAAATAATGAAGTTTCAAGTTAATAACAGAAATTTTGAATGAAGATGAATTATCAGTGAATATAAAATACTTTCTCAAGTACTGAAGCACTATTCTTATAATTTTTTCAATTATTTTCATTTGACAATATATTAAAAACATAATATATTGAAAAGTAATCCGAAGGAAATTTTCAACTAAAATTCAAACTATTATACACACCACACTAAGCAATCCGTTATCTCAAAAAATAAAAGTACAATATCATTAAGATTATCCATGGCCTTTCAGTGATTTTATTCTCATAATTAGTGAATGTAGAAAGTTGGAAAGCCTAATTTTGTAAGGGGCGTAAAAGAGGTAGAAGCTGTAATTGGGGGCTTGGCATTCCATCACCTTCGAACCAGAGTGCGCTTCCTTTGTGTTCACGTCCCGACGAAATACAATCTTGCCTGTGTCACGAAAGGTTTGTATTGTCTACACACATTCTGACACTACAAGTCTGTCTTTTGTAAAGTCATGTCTTGGTAAAACACTTTTATTTATTTTGGAGAGGTGTAATCCAAACTATCCCCAGAGCTTTTTAGCTAACACTTGGCACAATGAGATACTAAATTTTGATCAAACTAGAATTTTTTATATCACAAATACCAACAAAAAACTATTTTTCAAAACAGCCTAATAATCAGTAGAAAATTCAAATCTAAGACCAAAACATGGTATTCAATGCCATACAATGAAGATTAGGGCCATTACCAGATTACAGAACTAGTAGATCCTCACATAGCCAGTGTGCTTATTCAGAGCTCTGTTAGCAGTGAATATGTAACGACGTCTGAACGTTATATACCATGGAGGAATTGCAATCTGGCAATGACACGAGACAATGACGGCCGTTAGATTTCCCGATTCATTTAGATTATTATCGAGACAAGTTTGACGCTTTATAATGCATTTGTCGCCACGCCACACGCCCTCAATTTCAAGTCAAATTGGCTGTTTGTTATAGTGAACTGAAACGAATGAAGGGACATATTTGAATCGGTAAACTGTGAGCTACTGTAATTACTATAGATAATTGAAGTTTTTTTCGCAAAAATACCCTGACGTTTCACATCAGTATTTTAAAACTACTTGGATAGCCTACCTAACACTGTAATTCAAATGTAGAATAACAATATTTAAATCTTCAAACACCTCTCCCTGGTTGCCTATCCCATATTCTTTCATTTACGAGTCAATTCTGTATTTTAAATAGATCAGTCTGTCAGAACAGCAGTACGGTAGGTTTATTAAACAAATACTGAAATAGGCTAGTCCTTTTAGACAACAGTTCTGCAATTAGCAGAAGTTTTATTCTGGTAAAAACTTGCAACCAAGCATCTAACTTACAACTTTTATTCTTTTGAAATAGCCTATCTTAAGACAATACAGAGTTAAGTTTCTAATTGTGGAATTGCACAATTCTGCAAACTGTAAATTGGAAAAACCAAGGCAAGGTACTTTGGCTTCTAAATCCTAAACACAGTCAGAAAGTGATATATCTGTATATACAGATAGGCTATACAGCTATAGGGTTACCGTACATCAATTGGTTGGTTAGGTACCAAGTTAGGGCTGCATTCACTCCATGTTCCATGAAGTAAGTGTGCAACGAATATCATTTTTTCTGGTTGTACCGTATGTAGTTTGCTCTTCACCATACAGCCATTTTACCGTGGGGATTTAAGTTAACAGATTTTAGGATAGGATAGGATTTACATATTTATCCCGGGGGAGAGGAAAGCCGATAAGACGGCTTATCCATATGGCGAACCACGGCCTCTCGTCCGGTTACCATTCCAAGTCGGGTATGGGATTAGTTTTTACTGTATTGTTTGTTTTCGGAAGCATGGACTTGGTGGTGGAGGAAGCCGTAACCGACCAGCGGTTACGTGAACCACCCAACGACGGCGAGGAGTCCAGCAATCCTCTCGCACATAACCATCCCTGCATGGGATTCGAACCTGCGAACCCACGCAGAGTAATTAGAGGTGCGGTGGCGAGCGTATTCCTAACGCTTAGCCCGTTGAGCCACACCGCCGCGCACATAGTCGATGGAAGACAACATATAAGTTATGTTGAAATCACATACATATAACATTACCAGTATACCTGCAGCATGTTACGTAAATCTGCAACATGAGCTAATTGTATTTAGCCAAAAGCAACGACATTAAGAGAGGTTATAATGAGAAAAATAACTGAAGAAGCTGTCCGCCATTGTAGCATTGGATTCGATGACAAGGACGAAAGGGTTAATATTAGGTAAAACAACAATGTGGAACTTTTGCATCATCTAGCGCAGGGGTTCTCAAACTTTTGGTGTCGCGGAGCCCTTGAAAAGGTTGACTATTATTCACGGAGCCCCAAAATAAATGTTGAAATTGTTACCTCCAGATTTATATTCCTGAGCAATTTAAAAGTACTTTACTCAATTTAAATGCTGAACCTTTTTTAATAGGGGTAATTAATACAAGTCATAAATAAATCTAAATTTCAAACATAAATTATATATACTAAAGCTGTAAATTTGACACTTGACAAACATACTAATAAGTTAGGGGTCGAATCTTTTCCCTTTTGACATTTTTGGAAGACTTAAAAGACCGCTAATAATGTGTGCGATTGCATTTTGTTGCAATCGCCGATTTTTTTCCTCAGCATGGCGTGTTTTTGAACCTTTGAACATCTTTACGCCGGTGTTTATTGCCCCTAAATCAAAAATTTGCTTCGGCATATACATGTATTGTTACACAATGACGACGTTAATTGCTTTTTTTGTTCTCGTGGAATTTTGAGTTCAATGTGAAAAACATGTTACCATATCATAGTCATCGGCGGCGAATTGCTAAAAATTATAATTAAAAAAGAGGTAAATCCGCAACTCAAATTTCTTGATTGAAAAGCGGCATTCTAAAATATTAAAATTAAAACTTAAAATGGAAGATCGATCACGCGTTTGATTTCGGCAGACTCACCTAGGATTGAAAACGCTTTTATAGACATTGCCAAATTGTAAATCACAAAATTTGGTGTTATGTTAGGTTTTCATCGAAGTAACAGCGAAATCGAAACACAGTCAATTGTGCGCGCGGGGGAACCTTTTTTTCCCATTTTGAAACTACCGACGGAGCCGCACGCAATCAATTGTGCGCGCGATCCGCGATGTACCTGTTTTTTCATTCTGAACCGACCGACGGAGCCGAATGCAATAAAATGTTCGTATTTTGCCCAGACATTGTGATATTTTAAACGGCGATATCTTGCTTAATTGAGAATAATCTCAAATGCAAAAGAACAAATCAAGTTTGACAAATCCCAAGATCACAAAAATACGACTCTAATTTATTTATAGTTGGCAGTTTATCACATATTTAATGTTATTTTAGAAAAGTATTCTTTCATTTTAGTAATCCTAATAGTAATCTCGAATCAAACGCGAGTAAAGATGAGCACAATTACATTATAACGACAAGACACGTTAAATGCTAGCATCGGTCATGGATTGAATAGTTTACGCAACAGAAATCTCGTTATACGTTTTTTTAATCGCGAAGAATGTTGCGCGGAAATTTCTGATTTCAATTTTGAACCACCTCCCTCTTAAGAATCCCGGCTGCGCTCCTGCTTATAAATAATGTCATTTTTAAATTCCGCCTCTTTGCCATATTTTGAGGCTATATTGTTGTCAGATTTCATCAAAGCTGTTATGGTTTTCGTTGAACAGTTACAAAATTAGTCAGTATTTTGAAAAGTAATCGAATAGCTCGCGGAGCCCCTGGGTTTCTCTCGCGGAGCCCTGGGGCTCCGTACGGAGCACTTTGAGAACCTATGATCTAGCGGATAAGTCAGCGGGAACTCATAGAACAGCGGTTCTCAACCGCGGGCCCGGGGCCCACCAAGTGGGATAAAGAACAGTTGGAAGGGGGTCGCCATGACAAGCGCAAAACTGATTTCACAGGGTGTTCTCACGTTGCTAAGCATGAATTGTTTCAACATATTGGGATTTGGAATATGCCAATCAAAGTATTACTATAAGTACCACTGGAATGATGAACAGGGGGCCATGAGTGCCAGACCCTGCGGAAGGAGGCCATGAGTGCTAGACCCTGCAGAAGGGGGCCACGAGGCATAAAAGGTTGGGAAGTTGGGAAGTCTATTATCTAGAAAATTATAAAGTCATATTAAATTACTTCGGGTTATGAATTTATCTTGGCAATATGTGTAAATGAGACAATTAAAATGGCCGTTCGCAAAATAAACATGCTTTTTTAGTGTATCATTGAAAATGATTTCATAAAGTTCCAAGTGAGCAGATTATTTATATGAAATAATTTTGAAACATCAAAAAAATGCATTTTAACATGAATAGCAGTTATCAAACTCGTTATATAAAAAATTATTGAAACTATTCGGTTGTAATATTTGTGTACACTGCTGATTTCAAATATACATAGCTTCCAAATTCCATTCAATTCCGCTCCTATCTGTCATTTCATCGTCTTTGATCGCTCGGTTCAAGCGTTAACATAAATATAAATTCAACGCCGGACAAAAATCTCCATATGCTATCAATATATACTGTAAATCGTAGGCTATTTATCATATCTACTCGAAAGAAAAGTGTGTCAAATAGTTCGTGCAATTTATTTTATAATTTGGCACATTTGTGCGTTTTTCATTATCAAATTTGGGCACAGTATATATATATGTATACGAAATTGTACGCATAATCGGAATTCATAATCGGAATTAAGACTAAGAGTCTACTTATTAAAAATAAAACTTATAAAAATTATTTCTGCCTTCGCGCTGACTGGCTCGATAAGCACTTGCATGTGACAGTGCATCATCGCTTACTAATTATCACGGAAATCCGTATCAAATTTGTGTCACCATATTCATTTATTACCGGTTCTATTCATAATAAACACTCAAACATAGTTTTGTCTTGTAAGCTCTCAATACCTGCAAACAGCAACGTTGCAATTTTTTGAAAATGCGTCATTTTATTTCAAAAAGCTATTCGGTGTTTATATCTTGTTTATGCATCTACGCTAGCCTTCAGAAACCTGTTAGGTAAGTTTCTCATATTATTTTACAGATAAATATTTTATTGGTGAAATATTTTGGATTGTGTGCAACATCTGCTCCACTGGAAGGCTAAAATAAAATAATTCGAAGGCGTAGGCTACTGGTTGCGATTGAAAAATGAAGGACAAAGGTTGTATAGTAGGTCGGGGGAAGTCGGACCCACTAATAAGTTATTTTGAATAACTCTTCAAATAATGTCGCAGCTGCATTCGTTCTACTATTGATTCATGCACCCACCCTCCAGCTATCTTGCCACATTTGCACATTGTTGCCATAGCAACGAATCGGAATTTACGCCCGATTTTCAGCTAAAAAATATCGGGGTAAGTTAGACACTTTGTGGGAAAGACGGACACACACCAAAATTAACTTGATGGTGTCTAGGATTTCGGTCATAAGATTTCGATCAACGCCTAGATGGCCCAGGACTATGTCTCTTAAATTTTTTTTAAACAGATCACTTTTCTTGCATATCAAAAAGTATGTCCGTCTTACCCCATAAAGGACATAACAGGGCAATTTTCAAAAGAGTTTGAACAGTTTTAGGAAAACTAGAAATTTAAAATTTAGTTTGCGCTTTTTCAACTGCAATTTTTATATCTTCTTTACACGGACTACCTCTAGAAGTATTTATTTTGTAATTTCTTGGCATAAACTTGGGCGTATTTTATACGCATATGGAAAAAATAATTTGACGGGGTAAGATGAAATTTTACGCCGGGCTTAACTTCTAATTCTTAACTTTTCTTCTTAACTTCCAATATAAATATGGCGATGAGTGTGCTTTTGATCTTTGTTGTAAAAGGGTACTTAGTACCAAAAAATAATTATTTATAAGTTTTGATGACGACGGCCCATTGACATTCCCAACAGACTATATTGAAAAAAATCCCTCCCCCCTCCCCTACTCAAAATCCACCCTACCTCTTAAGTGACCCTGCCAACCCAAAAATGAGTACTGGCAGTCTGCTAAAGAATTTATTCGATCTAATGCAACTACTTTCAACAAATAAACAAAATAGAACCGAGTTCGCAGACTTTTCCGGCTAAAATTATTCTTCGCCACCATGGGACTCTATAATTTGACGTTTTTCTGTCCCAACAGAAACACCCCTTCCCCAAAAAGCACCGCCTTGTAAGTTATCGAGCCTGAAATGTAAAATCTTGGTTCTGTCGTTGTTCGCATGATGTCGCTCTTTCACGCGATGCGTTTTGAGCGACGAAAAAGCGCGAGGTGTCGCTAGTAGGAGGATTTTATTTTGACTGACCATCATACCCCGGGTGTCCGAACTACCCCGACCTACTATATAGTTTGTCAAATACGGAATGAAAATAAAATTCTTTTTACTAGATAACTGTACTTATATTTAGCTAGTACGACTTCGTAGCTAATCGAATTGTTTGTTCATAAGAATAGGTATATAATTTCTAGAATCTTTTGCTGAAACAAATCTAACTATAAAATAAAACATCTTATCTAAAAATTTCGACTACTTAAATACCTACTCTTTTATATAACTCAGAGCGATAAAAATTGCGCTTACAAGTCAACAAAAAGAATGGATTGTGGAGCAGCACAACAAGATCCGTTCAAACGTTACAACAAACGCAAGCAATATGCTCAAAATGAGCTGGAGTGTCGAACTTGAACGCCTAGCAACAAACTACTCCTCGAAATGCGTATTCGAACATAACGAAGTAGGTAGTTTTTGTTAATATTTTTTAATTTAAGAATCAGTTATTTCAAAAATTTGTCAAGTTATTTTTCAAATTTTCTGATAAACACCTTATTGAAGTATCAACTATTTTCTAATGTTGATTTCAAAATACAGAACAGAAAATCACTCGAGTTCAATAGTGTTGGCGAAAATCTGTTCGTTATAAAATCTACGGATGGATATCCACTTTTCAAAAATGCAATCCAGACATGGGAAGCGGAAAAGAGAGAATACAGATATATGTATTCCTGTATCTCTTGCGGTCACTATACACAGGTATATCAAATACAACAAGTAATGCCTGTATTTCAAGACGCTTTGGGAATAATTGTTGCAAAGTTCTATGTACTAGTCTAGAATCACGTCCTTGCAGGCTGTTGAAAAATTTCGTTTTTTTTCGCTCTTACATTGCCTATCCAATTGGTTCGGTCTGGGGTGAGGTTACAATCCCGTCTGGGACCCTGCAACGAAGAAAACATAGATTAGAATATGCAATTCCAGCATATAGTCATCAGACCCCCGCACACTAATATTGAGGGTGCTACTTTGGTATGTGATTTTATGCGTGGTAGCTTTTTCATTTTAATACGTTTCAACATGAATAAAAAAAACTACCTTGGTGTCATTTTACCGGAGTAACAATTTTCAACATTTTTCTCCAAGAGTATTGTTAAGTGGCAAAAATAGGATGGCCATACCGTAAATCTTATTCTTCACTAGGTGATATGGGCAACTACGTATAAAGTAGGATGCGGATACGCTGTATACCGTACCGGAACTACCGTATACAATTCAACTTCAATAGTATGCAACTATGGGCCATCAGGAAATAAAGCTGGTATGTTCACTATCTATTTATAATATGGACTAAACTAAATCATGATCACCGAACTTTTTTGACCACGGGTCAGGTAGGCTATGACTCAAACTGTTTTGAAAACGGGCCGGACAAATATTTTTGTCAGTGTGTCGTGGACTATAGTGTCCGCGTTTATATTGTGTGTGTATATATATTTTTATGTTTATAAACAGTTATGTTGAACTCTGTTTAATGCTGTTTTGAACTCCGATCACTCACTACACGTGAGAGAAAAATTGTGTCTTTCGATCTCTCTTCTCCCGTCGCGTAGCAACATCTTCACACTGTGACATTGACAATACAATAAATTTACAAAAGTTGGGAAATCCATTCAATTCAATCAACAATATAAATCCTACATTTCTGAGGACTTAGAATATCAAACTCTATATCGCAGAATATCGAGAACATCATAGCAAAACAAATAAACAAGATTTGTAGACAACTATCCCGAAGTTAGCTGTTAGCAAAACATTGCTGTCATGAATATCCGAATGTGAGCAGTACTAGAGTTTATGTGACTTGTAATCACAGCAAGAGTTTCGCCGAAAGCACGTGCCACGAGTGCATCCTTCGCAGAAAACGTAATGGAGCGTTGCGTACCGGTAGAGAATTTAGCCTATTTTATCACAGCTATTTCTAGACAAATTTTGGATTACTGCAATTAAACTACAACTCCTAAAAAGGCAAAATGATGACTAACTTATTTGATTCATACTCAAATTTCCAAGTACAACCAAAAACTAACGAATAGAATTTAAAATCGCGAAAACGAGGTATTGTTCACAACCACGACTGAAAATCTGTTTGAGTGACAAAAAAGTGTCTGAGCGGATGCGAAAAGGCCTATTGTTACGTCACTTTTTGCATCTTGCCGATTGGCCAATATTACGAAATAAACAAGGAAGTCAATGCTCGGGGAAACATCCCTTGGAAAATAATTTCGTCATTTTTTCGTCTTATTGTGGGCAAGATGAAAAGAAATCATATATGCATGCACTATTTAAGAAAAACTCACATGAAATTTTTTAAAGCGTGTTTAATGTCGATTTAGGGAGAAAGGATTACTAAAAAATATCTTATCGATGTAAGTTTTGAAAATTGGTTGAGATTCTTTCCTTCTGTAATTGTTCAAACTCGTCACAATAAATCCTATTTTTATGATTCGAAATTTTAGCCACACTGCCCTACATTGGTGGACCTTCCTGTTCTCGCTGTCCACCACAAGATGTATGTGAAAATAAGCTGTGCGCGAACTCAACCCGTGACGATACAGGTAAATTTTGATCGGTTGTCAACTACAAGGCAGCCAATAGCAATGACACGAATGAATTATGCTCTAAGATAAGTGATCTCTTCAGCAATAGGTTTTCAATATTCATAGAGAGGTTTGAACGCTCGATTTATGACAACATTCCGTTCTTGATAATATTAGGCCAACGCCATGACCCAGAATATCAACAGGCCTAACTGTGGACCCCTTGCAGCAGGAATTTTGTGCTCTTTTGGCACGCAGTTTCTTCATTCAATATAAATTATAGTAATGTGAACTCTGAGTCGTGAATTACCGTTTTTAAAGACCTACTCACATCAATCAGAAGACGGGCACTTTTGCGTTGTATGGCGAAGTCTTCGCTGAACTAGTAGTAACGTTATTACACTACATTAAACTTAACCCAATAGTCAACGATATTTATCGTTCAGAGGGGATGGACACTCCGGCCTCCTCTTCGAATGCTACCGGTGAGTTTAAGTAATTAATATAAGTAATATGAATTTATGTCAAATATTTAACAGCTTTCAATCAGGTGTCCATATTGTTCAAGCAAACGGTATAGTAGATAAGTAGACAGAGCTCAAAACAGAGACCAATTGAACATCAAAACAACGCGTTGAGTATCAAAAAACATTGAATAAACAACCAAACGTAAAGTTATAGCGACATATAAAATATTACTTCAAAATACTTTTTCTATGGCATATATCACATATATTTCAATTAATAGATATGTCACTTAAAGCCTGGACTTTTCAACTTTGTGAGGGCCCCCATTCCTAATTGTTGTCTTTGTTTGTAACGCTACTAACTTATTTAATCTTATATATAAATAAAACATTACGTTTATTTAAAAAACAACATGCGGGTGACGAGGTCTATTTAATTGAATTGTCCTTCAACATGCGAGACCCATTTTCTATTTCCGTCACCTTGATTGTTTATTTTATCTGAAAATGAGTTTAAAAATCTGGACTTTGAGTTGCAACTAAATTCTTAGGTTCTTATCTATTACGAGCTATGACGAATTTTTTTTTCATGGTTTATTTTCAGTTTGGGGATCATGGGAGCTTGTCTATTTGTATATCGTCACGCTAATAACCGAATTGCGTAAGTCATTTTTAGCAGTTTTGAGAAAAACGTAAAAAACTTCCTAATGATATTGTTATGCCATTGAGAGTCATTAATTTGCCATGATTCAATTTTTTGATCGTAGCCGGATTCAAGTTAATTTGTATGACGCAGTTAAGTGACGTCATAATGGCGCACTGTGACTTAGGCAGAAATGTGTCTATAACTTGGGGACATACGCAATTTTGCAAATTTACTATATGCACCAGTCCTGAAAACTAAACATTCCAAAAACGAATGTCATTCTCAGTATCTACAATGTCTAATCCCCAAAATAGCTAATCAGTTTCAATTACATTATTTTTTTATGTTTAAAAATATATATTTCATCAATATATCACGTTCTGCACACCCACCGAAATAAGACTAAGATTAAATACGAGAATATCGGTTGGAAACCGAAGACTTATCGATCGATAGTTAGGGGATCCCCCAAAACAGAAACTGCAGTTTCGATTCATCCGCTCTTGTAACTTGCGCACTGCGCATCGCACACACACACTCGGCGGGTTTCAAAATTCTCTCGCTTTACAAAAATCTAGATCACTATATCAATAATTGATTGATAACTCGCTAATTATACGACATAATTCGCCCAAAATCAATAGGCTTCTGGTCCGAGATAAGATGAATGCACATGCAAAATCTGGAGCAGATTCAATCTCGCTTTCGTGAGATATCGCGTGCATCTAACAGACACACACACAGACAGACAGACATACATACAGACAAATACCTATCAATATACTTACCGATCTTAAGATCGATAAGTAATAAAGAATAAAACTGCAATGCACCCAATATAAAAGCCAACCAAGGTGAATTGGACTCGAACAGTGAATATCACAAGTGCACGTCTCCCTATACTGTAGTATAAATTCAAATTAATACGCGCTAAGCTAGGGATGGGCAATGTAGAATAATTTACTATTCTAGAATATTCTAGAATAGTTAAATCGAATCCAGAATACCGAATCCTATTCTATTTTCATACTTATTCAAATAGAGAGAATTTTCCTGATTGCTGGATTTAGATGTCAAAAAATTATAATGTATTACTATAAATGTATTATTTATTTGGAAATGTCCTTAACATTAGATTTGATACTAAACAGGCATTTCCCAGGACAATGAAATCTAAGAATATTACAATATTTTTGCTTTCAATTATTCTAAATGTATGTAATCTCTAAATACTTATATGCTAAATTACGCTTCAAACACTTTAATAGTAAGCGGTTAAATACAAAAATAGATATGAAACGTCATTAAATCATTATTAATGTTATAGAGTGTCGAGTGTACTAAAGCACACCCGCTGAGAATTAATTAGATGCAGGACCAGCGTGTGGCCACTGCAACCTATGCGACCGGTGTAAAATATTAAATTGAACCACTACTAATTAAAATAAACTTATTATTCTGTGCGATCAAGACGTGCAAAACAAGGTTTCCGTAAACGCGATTTCGTAGTTAGTTATTAGTTAACATCATCTAAAGACGAATTCAATTTCTATTATTATCGTTACATATCATTATCTACCCAGACTTGGCCCTACTCAAACTCAATACGTAACTATTTTCGCCAGATGTGGCATCTTTTTTTCAAGTTTATCGGCGAATAAAATTACTACAGACACTCGATCAAACGTGCGTCTATCTTGAACGATAGAAACGGACCGAAAGATATGTAATCTTTTGGGAGTGAAATTTAAATGCGACAGATCGTCGTGTTATGCGATATAACTTTGTATTTCGAAAACTGGTGTAATAAAAGTAATAAAATTATTCCAAAATAATATTTGATTTAAATTAATCGCAAGTAATGTCATAACATTTTACGCCTGGCTTTTGATTTACATGCATCATTTTCTGGGGAAAACTCGCCGGTCGCGGAAAATCATTTACAGTAATGTAAAATGAAGCAAGGCACGCCTGTAAACAATTGAAGATTGTTGCAATAAGATTATCGGAATATCGCCAGTAAGTTGGCACAAATAATTATTATTATTAAACCCTCGCTAGATAGCAAAGCAGGAAAACGCAAAAAATGGTGCAATAACGAGTCTTCGTCGTAAGGTGTACTTCACGACTTCTTGTTCAGAATACGCCGATTGAGATTACTGTGTTTGATGTTTACCGATTTTACGGGTTCTTTCCGAGCAGACGCAAGTCTAGTTAAAGGAGAGAGATTTCCACGCGAGAAAGAACGCTCGTCTTTAATTGATAAATTAGAAATCCGAAATACAAAAATTGACGCCCGGCGAAAACGCAAAAATGGTGCAATAACGAGTCTTCGCCACGAGATGTACTTCGCCGACTTCCTGTCCAGAATACGCCGATTGAGATTACAGTGTTTGAAGTTTACCGATTTTACGGGTTCTTTCCGAGCAGACGCAAGTCTAGTTAAACGAGAGAGATTTCCACGCGAGAAAAACGCTCGTCTTTAATTGATATTTAGAAACCCGAAATGCAAAAATCGACGCATGGCGCCGGAGAGGCGGAAACCGAATCCTGTTATCGGATCCTGTTGGATTCGAATACTTTGGGATTCGAATCCTCCGGATTCGGTATTCTATATTGCCCATCCCTACGCTAAGCTAGAATCCGAGATGCAAAAACTCGAAAATACTTCGCCGAGGTTATTTTGCCTTTGTGACGTCACAATAGTTCTGCGGTAACAATGATAATTCATTATGACGAAACAATTGCACAAATGTACATATCATACTAAATCTCCATTTTTATGGGTTTCGGAGTTCTTAAAATAAAATCTGAGTCAACAGACAGGTGCGTAGCATTACATAAATACCTATTTTATAAAAATCTCAAAATCGCCAAAAATGACTTACGCAATTCGGTTATTAGCGTGACGATATCTTCTTAAATATATATTAAAGTTTGTTCAAATAAAATTTATTCATGTGAGATCTAACTAGTTTTACTAATACTGTTTAATACGTGCGTTTATATTAGGCTTATTATATTAGAAGAAATATATAACTTAATTAAATATGCACAATATTCTTTAATTTAGCGACAACGATCGCCCCGGCTTCCATTTTAACTACAACCGGTGAGTTGAAATAATGTTTACATATATATTTATCAAATATTTTGCAACCCTGTTTGCGCCTCATTTCTTCTATTTTTGAGATTGCAGACCGAAGAACTATCAATTGGAAATTGAAGCTATAGGCCTACGAGGCCCAAGGCCACCCAAGGTCTTTGAATTATAGAATATTGATTTGTTTTGAAATACTTTTAACAGATTCTGCCATTCACATTTCACCGACAATCTATTGGCACTTCTTGTCTGTGTTAGTTCTGTATTGCAAATGGTGATGAACAGAAGAAGCGGAAGCGTAATTTTAAAAAAATGATTAGAAACTATTTCAATATATATATATATTGTAACCAGAAGAAAAAGTAATGCTTGTTTCCCCATAGTCCACATATTTGATTTATTTTCCTAACGAATGGGCTTGCTACACTGTTGTTCTTAGTCTTGGTGTTGTAGTGGAAAAATCTATTCTAAACAAACGGTAGTTGCGAGACTCCTTTCCGCATTTTTAATATTCACGGGAACATTGTTTTGACATTTGACCTTCGCGCCCATAAGTCTACTTTCTATAACAATAACTAATCCACAAATAATCAACTGTGGCGCAGCAATTGAAAATGACTGGCATCACGACGTCGTCAGTTCAGTAAAGTTATGTATTTATCAAAATATATCATTTTCTGTCTGTAATATTTTTGTACTGAAATAAGTTTTTAAGCGCCTTCTTAAAGATCAAATCTTAAAGTTTATTTCATACTTCGTCGGTGGCGCTCAGGAAGTATTCGTACCAAGATGACGCACAACCTGAACGACCCTGACCTGGTACACATAATATGTTCAGGCTGTGCGCCATCTTGGTACGGATACTTCAAGAGCATCTTGCTGGTTATAAAATGTATCCCTGGATAGTAGAACGACAGACCTTGAAGCTTCACTAGGTCATACGATTCGGGTAATACGAGTTGAATATTGTGTACATAAGATAAAAAGGTTTGGTATTAAAATTATTCTAAACTATTGCATGAGGTATTTGAGCACATGTCATATTCTCATAGTTACAAATAACCCATTCATGTTTTTTTATCAATCGGCGACCTTGTAAGAGGAATTGAAGGAGCATGGTCACGACTAATCCCCCAGTTCACGAAGGACCGGTTTATTATTTCAAACAAATATTAACATAGTAACACTGGAAACGACGTGGCAATATTCATAAGGATAATTTAACATTATGTAACAAACGAGTATTGCACAAGCACGAAAGTCGAGTGACTAATCCACTAATGTGATTCATCCAATGCCAGCAAAAATGTTGAGGTGTGCCCAACGACTAACATGGTTTGCCTGTGATCATAATTACAGTAGCAAGCAAAATCTGGGGTGGAACAACAACCTCAAAAGAAAGTTCGCAAAAGATCCAATGCTACATTTCATATCAAATAAATTCAGGTTAGCTTGCAGAGATATGAAACTCCGAACTGCAATAGGACTATTTGAACGTTCGCGACTTTACAAAACTTCTCATAAGGCTGATTTCGGACTTTTTATGAGAACTCAAAGGATTCTAAGTAATTCAAGAGTCTTTTTGCACACTAACACGAATATATTTCTATAACATTTCGTCTGGCTAAAGACAGACTTCTTCAGACATACATAGTTCAACTATAACAAGAAAAGCAGTTGCATGCATATTTAGACACTTGTGTTTAAATATGCATGCAACTGTTTTTCTTGTTATAGTTGAACTATGTATATCTGAAGAAGTCAGACGGAACGTTACAGTAATATATTTGTGTTCTTGCTGCACACTAACAGCAAGACTCTCGATTCACTTAGGATAGTCATCTTTACACTTGCTACAGCATCCTTGCATTAAATGCACAGGTATACGGATCCACCGGCATAAAAGCATAAAAGAAGGATAAGTAGTTTGTCTCGCTGAAAACAAACCATTAGTTCAGGGGATTCTGTTGTCTGATCATTGATATGTTCTAGTGTTGTTCACTACCACTTAAAATATATATATAATTAAGTAAAGTCTCGTAATGGTCACAAATCATAAATATAACGTTATCTATTGTGTTCGGCAGACAGTCTGCGACCTTACGATCGCCCTTGGTCAAATGATTGTGAGTTTAAATATAAACACGAGAAAATACCTAATGACTTGACTGGCCTCCATTCTTTGCAAAGGAAAATCCCCTCGATGACACACATCTGTGTATGGATTGCTAACGCGTATATTAACTCGATCATACTTGGCCATTTTATATTCTATTCGAATGTTTTTATTAAGATATGCCCACATACAATTCCAATCCAAGTCATAAAACAATATATACTGAAAACGAGAAAATACCTAGTGACTTGACTGGCCTCCATTTTTTGCAAAGGAAAATCCCCTCGATGGCACACATCTGTGTATGGATTGCTAACGCGTATATCAACTCGATCATACTTGGCCATCAGATACTCTATTTAAATGTTTTTATTAAGATATGGACACAAACAATTCAAATCAAAGTCATGAAACGATATATACGTACTTTTGAAATGGCTAATGAAATAGAATTAAGTGTGTGTAAGGCAACAAAAATATAACTAAACATATAGTAAAGTTTAAATAAAACGTAAAGTAAATTTGGTTTCAAGTTGCGGCACTGGTGTGATGGCAATGCTGCTCAGAACACACAAGCATGGGCACACAAATAGCAAATTAAAGCTTAATTTTTATTTTCATTTTGTGATTAAAATTGATCCTGAATTATGTGCGCGTCTGGAAGATTCTCTTTGAAATTTTTGGAAATAAATTCCACGGGAATTGCTTACCGCAGTCAAAAATCTGTTCAGTGTTTTAGTATGACATTGTGAAATAATGAACAAATATAAAGATGTAAAACACGTACAAGTAGATACATATAATATAAAAATGCATAGGGTTAAAAAAAAATATATCAACATAGTTACTTAACTTAAGTTAACATAAGTCTCATTTTGTAGAGTTAAATTTGAAGTTTTTAACTAAAAAATAACGGTAATCAGCTTAACTCGCCTGTTATTCAAACAGGCTGATTCAAAATCGCTTGTAACGAATTAGGAGTTGTTTATTTTAAACTAAGGACTGCGTCCAGTATGATTTTTCAAATGATATAATACAAATAGTAAACGTGTCAACGAAGTATTGAATAGTCACGTTTTTATCGTGTAATTTTCTATCTTGTGAAGATGAGAACAGTGTCAGTAGATTCAACCTGGGTGGAATTATCTCCTCCCCAACCTAGAAAATAATAGGAAAAAATTCAGCAAATAATTTAATTAAAATCAAGATTCTAGCAGATTTAACATCGGGACAAGTGGAAAATGTGGGATTTGGTTGGTCGAGACAACATGTGAACAATGTATATTTCCCACAGACAAGTATTTGTAAACACAGCCAAGAAAAGGTGACACTATTACAATAGCACTACGCTGCATTTTGCATCCTGATTTGAATCTGGCTGAAAAAGTTGATAAATGATGCGAGTAAAATGAAATTTTAGTTTTATGTACTGGTGACCGAAGAGATGTGAGTTATTGGAACAAGAAAATTATCCTACATAATTGCGTATATAAAACTTAACAAACGTACCAGTATAAATTGTATGTGAACCATCTTCATTTTTGACCACGTTTGGTCCCCCAATGCAGACATTGTGAGGCCAACATGATTCGGTCCTGAACGATTTAAATGATAGTGAGTGCATAAAGTAAAACATAATTAAATAGGACACATGAGAAGAAAAAATAAAACAACCGTATGCTGCATCTTTGAACTCTGAAGCTGAAACATGAGGGCTGGCATATATGAAAATACCAAAAATATGCAAACGATACGACTTCTTTAAAATTGTATTCTAATACTAATAGATCTTTGTTTTGCTTTCCAATTGTTAATAAAACCTTTGAATGTCTTGCCAGCCCTTACCTAATTCCATAACAAAGCGCGCTAGGTATTCCAAATATGTTATATACTCTGAATTGGAGAAACTCTGGTTTGGTTTGCATTTTATCATTGTCTGGTATCGCGTTGAACACACTGTTTTTACTTCCACGTAGATATGAAATCGGCTGCAAAAGAGAACCTGGGAAACCGTCGCATGTGAATTCTGAAATGACAAGATGAAGTTAAATAGTAAAAGTAGCAAAACGATCTATAGATACAATTTTCCTAAGGTAATTGACAATTGGTAGTAAAGATTATTCATCTTCTTAAAAGAACATCTATGCATATTTAGTTCGGCACACTCCTTGGGTATAGTAGCTCAAAAAATTCATGCTGGCGCAATTTTTCAACTTAAAAAGAAGAGAAAACCATATACTTTTATTGATATATATGCTCTATACCTGGTTTAACATGTAGCAGTATTTTACTCAGAACAGATGTTATATTCGACTTTGGTATTTTTTGTCCATTTTGGCTGTAGAATAAAAGTGTTATTGTTACTATTCAGTAATTTTAGGGTATAATGGGCCACTTCATGATGATAAATTTGACAATTGTTGACTGATTGTCAAGAGTCTTGTAAACTAAACCCGATAAGAAATTATCACGGCCGTTTCAAATTGGCTGACAGTTCGGTTGCATCAAAACGAATGCGCAGCCAATGCTCCTCTCATATATATCATCAAATGAGTGGTTTCTCAAAAATTTTGTCTTCCACTTGTCGCACGTGGAACAAGTGGGTCACTAGAGACAAGTGTGGTAAACGTAGAATATGTGGGGCACGTTGGACAATTGTGAGATACACGGGACAAGTAAGAAACGACATTTTTGAGACATCGTTGAATGCGTAAGTGGCTAAAATCTAATCTAAACAAACCTTGATAAAAGCGTGTAGCCTAATAGAAATAATTTTGGACTGCCTGTAACTGTCACTTCATGCTGTAAGGTATTGGTTCCATTGGTCCATAGCGATTTCTTGAATTCAGCTGACGCTATGGATCCCGAAATCTGTAAAATTATCATTTTTATTCAGAAAGCATAACAAAATATTACAACATAAATATAAGTATTCTTCCTTGTCACAAGTGATGATTAACATCTATATAACTGATAGTACGAATAATCGTACAATACTCACATTGCGGTTGTAAACATAGTAGAACACTGTAGAAATGGATGGGTCGCTTGTACCATATACATTGAAGGCAAAAAATTTGAGCATAATGTCTTCTATTGCTGTTGTTCCATCATAAGTAGAGTATGAACCTCTACCGTCAGCTCCAGCATCTGAAACCGCCTTGAAACACATAAAAGAAAATTTGGTGCTGTTTTGTAGGTACAACTTAATCGAAAGGTATTTTCAGAAAATAACTTACTTTAAGTGAAAACGAACTGACTGAACGATCCGTATTTTCCACCCACATTAACAGATTGAATGGATGAGAGGTAGAAGACAGAAGTTCTATTCCGTGACTCTCGTTTCTGCATTGAAAATTTTTGATTGTTTTGGCATTTTTAACTTATAAATTTCAAATACAAATCGGCTCAATGATTGAGATAATCGTTTTTTTTCATATTAGAAGGCATAGATATAATCGGGGTCAGACAGTTATAAGGGTATGAAAGCTATTTTTAATATTTTCAAGATATATTTATGAAAAAATTCATGTGAAGTATGTTTAATTTGACTGTCGTATAACCCTACATTTAACTTGATATTTCATGAACATGAATGAAGCCGCAGGCCACATATCTTCAGTTGCATGTGTTTCGGGATCGGTAAGACCTATTCACTCATTGTTATGCTGTGGTTTATGCACATGATACAATTGAACGTTCTACTTGCCATTACCTGTACATTTCATTATAGGTTACTTGTACTTCTGGGTCATCTCCGATTCGATAAAATATCTGCAAAAAATATAAAATTTATTCAAACTACGAACGTTTTATTATAAACAGGAATGAACAATTATAACTTCAGATAAGTTTATATTCGGAACATGTATAATACTTTTGTGGGAGCATTTTGAATACTTCATGCCTTTCATGTGCACTCTAAGAAATATTTACCGGCAATCGCCTGGCATTACATATTACTGGAATGTAGTTGTGAAATTTTAATGCGATTTTAAGGTGAATATCACAAGAATTTTCGGTAAAATCGCTGTTGATCACCTGTAAATTTTACAGGATTTCCCTAGTAATCCTTGCAATTTTTTTACGGTAATTTTCACCGACAATGCGTAGAAATATTTACCGACGCTAGCCTGTGAATTTACATTACAAATTCGGTGAATTTACATTCAGAACACGGTAAAAATTACCGTAAATATCCTGGCATTACATTTTACAGGACATGATCAGTAAAAATCACAGACTATTATTCTATGAAACAAGGTTTATTCAAAAAATAAATGTGAACGTGAAATGAATGATTAAACTTGGAAAAATGAGAAATTGTATAGTGAAAAGTTAGAAATGCGAGGTAAACAGAAACTTCTTGTTGAAGAAGTTTATGCTAGCAGGGTATCCGTTCACATAGTTTCTTTAAACAAGTCTCTATAGACAGTCCTTGTGAGAGAATAGTCTATGGCAGAAGGGGAGTCTTTCCGGGTTAGTGTTGCCCATGCTGATTGTATTGCATTATCCATTTGCTTTTACGAACTCTTACGAACTGGTATTTTCTTCTTCATAACTTCAAGTTATCTGAAATGGAATGTACAAAGAGTTTTACCCAAACAACTCCAAGATTTAAAAATATTACCTAATTTTCGAATAAGATTTAACATTTTGTAGTATTCAATCAACCAATCTAATTCTTTTGCAAGTGAGAAATATCTGAAATTATTTAATTGCATGTACTAGCATACATTACAATATCCCACCTTTCTATAAACTTTTATATTTTCTTTTCCTCTTGGAGTTCAAGGACAAAAATCTGTGGGCAATCAATCGATACAGACTTTTCCAGTATTACCAAACTTTGTAGATCAGATGGAAGAGGTACCTGAAATAGTATTTAAATGGAATAAATTATTTAAAAGTCCCTAAATAATAAAAAGTACACTCCTAATACTTTATTGCCAGAGCAGATGACAAAGTTCCTCTTTTAGCAATTTAAAATTAACATTATAACTAACCTCAAATACTTCTTCCTTGAAATAACATGTTAGTAAGAATCTCAAATATTTTGAAGCCTATGACATTGAATTTTTCACAGTTCAGAGTTGGGGCAGACAATTTGTTCATGCCTGCTTAATCAGATTCTTCAGTTTCTAAAGCGAAAACACTGTTAAAAAGGGATGTATTCATTCCCCAACTTCATTATATGTAATATGTTCATATTCGGTCTTATTCAAAGGAGAAATTCAACCAAATTTATAGAATTGGTTTTAGTAAATATGCAGAATAAGGTAGATAAATGTTGTTTTAATTTTCTATTTATAGTGTCATAAGTTAAAGGGAAATCTTGTTTTTATGACAGTTAAATGTGAATTGCTGTTTTTCAAATTAAACTGTTCTGAATTAGTCCTAGAATCAATAATTTAAAATATCATTATCAAATATGTCTGTCTGTAGACAGGGATGGCCAATACCGAATAGTTCACTATTTCGAATACATTCGAAATTATTTTTTTCGAATATGAAATTTCGAATACTTCGAAAATAAAATCCACTAATTGAAGCTTATCTAAATGTATGTAGGAATTTCCATACAATAAGCAATGGAATAACTGCTATCTACAAGTTACAACCTAGCTATATTACCAGGCATTTCATATTTGCAGATTATTGCAGTATATATTTGATATACCATGAGTCATGTTAACAGAATTAAATTAATACGACAATAGTGGTATCGATGATGAATTTGAATATTTGCGCAACACAAAATCATCCTAGTAAAACGCCCATACTTTTAAATACCAACCATTATCCAAATTATTTGTCGAAAAGCGGGATGAAGTATGAGATATTTTTCCGACTTGTGACAATTTTTTCGTGAGTACAAAAATTAATTATATTCGGGAATTTTACCACACATTTCAAGTCCGCAGATCACCGTTGTATGTTTGAGTAATAATACTTATATTATTTTATAAATATGAAAATAGGAATCAAAAACTATTTATAGTCGGGTAGTTTACCACACATTGTAAGTCCACAGATCGCCTTGTAAATACGAAAATAGGAATCAAAAATTAATATTAATCGCGAGTTTGCCACACAATTTATGTCCACAGATTGTCGGGATATTGTGCCGAATATAATTAGTTTTGATTCTTATTTTCGTACTCACGAAAAATTGTAACAAGTTTATATTTTATCCCGCTCTTGGGAACTAATTTGGATAATGGTTGCCATTGGTTTGTATTTAAAAGTATGGACTTTTTACTAGGATGATTTTGTGCTGCGCAAAATATTCGAATCCATGACCGATACCACTACTTAAAATGCCTTACCGTGTTAATTTAATTCTATTATCATAACTTCAAATGTTGGTAAATCGGGCAGTTTACCACACATTTGAAGGCCACAGATCGCCGTTGCAGTTTAGAATTATTAGTTTTATTATTTTGTAAAAACGAATCCGAAATTAATTATAATTGGGCAGTTTACCACGTATTTCATGTCCACAAATACCCGTTGTATTTGGTATTAATACTTTCATTATTTTATCAATTTAAAAATAGGAATCAATATTCAATAATATCGGTCAGTTTACTACACATTTTATGTCCACAGATTGTCGATACAACCATGAGTTACGTTGAACAGAATTAAATTAATACGGCATGACATTTTAAATGCTGGTACCAGTCATGGATTGGATTATTTAGCGCAACAAAAAATCATCCTGGTAAAGGATCAATACTTTTAACTATCGTTATCAGAATTATTTGCCAGAAATTATTTTCTAATAAATCGACTTGTTTTTCCAACTTGTGACAATTTATTGGATATCGGAACAATGACAGCTATAAATACCGTATTTCCCAGCTAATAAGTCTATATGGCAAATAGGACGATGTCTATTTTTAGCACACAAAAAAGGAGTTTTTCCATATAGGCCTCCAATAAGACGGGTAGAAAAATTCGCTAATAATTTTATATGTTCAGAACCAGATCATGTTAGTTTGGTAGAATCATACTCACAGAATTAACTATTTTTAACAATTGAGCAGTAAATTTAAGTTGTAAAGCGGCAATCATTTTAGACAACCTATTAACCCGAATGTTGAAATAATTTTGGAATGTGATGATAAGTACTACACTGTACGTCCACGGGTTATTTCACAGCTGTGTTTTCCTGTCCCTGTTGTGTTTTGCTGAATCAGCAAAACGAAAGGGTCACAAATCACTTTATCTCGGTGGCCGTGTTTCTCTTTAAAGTAACGATAACCGGCCTGCGATTAAATATCATGATTGGCAGACCCTAAGACCCAAATATAAGGTTACACACATCATGCTTGAGAAGACTCATGCGAATAAAAATTAGGCCACATAGAAATAAAATAAAGATACTTTCTCAATTTTTCGACGTAATGGAAATGAATTTGTAAATTAAAAGCCTCGTACACGAATGTCGGCAATGTCCACCCTCGCAAAAGTGCAAATGTGTCGCAACACTATGCGCCCTACGGTCGCAAAGAATATAAACAATCAAAGTGCCGATTCTATTTCATCGTCATTACGTGAGACAGCGTAAAAAGTCGTTTAAAGATTCCCGTAAAACGAAACACCACGTTTACGGCGAAAAGTGTCTACTATTCGGAATTATTCGAAAATCAGCCGAAAAGGTATTCGAATACTTTGATATTCGAATACATTCGAATATTCGATTCGTTTTGGACAACCCTGTCTGTAGATGATTTTCAATCACTGACTCAGTATATAAATATATGAGTATATGTAATTGATACCTGTTTATTCTAATGCCATATTCTTCAAGCCACGGTTTCTGGGTGTAGAGCAACGTCACCCCTTCCCCTGTCTGCCTGTTCATGTGTTCCCTGTAGTCCAGTCTGGGTTTGCGATCATCATAAAGCTGTTGGTAATTTGACGGTTTATCTTGATTCAGTAATTAGATGTTAACATTTCAAGTCTAGAGCTGTAAAGAGGGCATATTCAGATATTGTATTGTCATTTCAACATTCTGACATTTGCCAGTCTACTGACAAAAAAAAATTCAGACTTGGTAATACGAATTAAGCTCTGGCTGTGTTAAGTATCGACAGGCGTAACATGGATCTGCATCCAATCAACCTTATACCAGTACCGTATACTACTGTACTGTCAGACTGTTATAGCCAGTACTGCAGTACCGGTATGTCTGTATGTATTCATATATATATTAATTCAGTAATTGGTACGGTATAGATCTTACCCTACTTCCAGACAGCCCCATAATCACACTGAACAATACATTAATAACCAGCACTAAATAACACAACACCTGCACTGACATTATTGAATCCAAGATGCATTGCCTTAGGCTTAGAGAAATACTGCCAACGCATTACTGCAGTAATAACAAAAGCGACCAAGATATAAATGTCGGCTGACCAAATATCGAAGTCCAAAAGTCTGGAATTCGTCAAATCAAACGGACAAATTAAGGAGTAAAGCAACAAAAAACCGCGCGTGATAAATTACGCGTTTGAAATATAGCGTCTGATTGGCTGCTCTTCTTTACCAGTGTGCGCGCCCAACATTGACTAATGCCACGCCTCCAATGTCGGTGATTATTACCGACATTTGTCGGTGAATCAGTTTACCGACCTTATTTTTTAATTTTTTACCCCTAAAATGACGGTAAAATTTACCGAACATTTCTTAGAGTGTGATAAAAAATATTTCAAGGTTTATTACTTTATTTCCACCATCAAACATGTCCGATCCGCCATCGCCGATATAGTTCTGTACACTTCCGCCGAAGTCGTATGTATATTTATAAAACTGGAATACCGAGGACCTGATATCTTCACCAGAACTATTTAATGCTTCTATCATTTTTGTTAATGAATTTTTCAAACCTGGAATAAAACGTCGTATTAAAATATAAATAGTTGAAGCCAGATATGTATTTTTCATCCAATAAAAATAGCGTTAATTTATGATTCACTCAATGAATGGGTGGCTGTCGGTGCGAGTGGAGAGTCTGCAATTTCATATCTGATAACCCTAATATAGATCATATAATGGCCGGCAAGCTCTTACCATGCAACCATCCCTTTTTCACGTCAAAATTTCAAGGCGCATGCGGAAAGAATCAAATATAAAATTATAATAATATATTGGTAAAAAACTTTCAACATTCATAACAATCATGTAAAAAATAAAATTATTTTCGTTACGAAATGTAAATTTAGTGACACTGACGTGATCTCGATTTTGGCAGATAAAATATAGTGTATGGTGGAATAGCCTACAGCCACACCCAAATTTCAGGGATTTTCGTTTTACCGATTGACAGTAACATTGCCTGGAAATAGACGACATAACATTAACTTTAGCACAGTATATCTTTTTTTCCATTGTTGCCAAATGATGAAAATTGAATTGTACCAACTTACTATAGAACTATTTTTATATGATTTGGCTGCAATCTACAACCCAACATATAATATAACCCTTCATTGAAATTCCGTAATATTTCATGGGATTTTATTTTTACAAATTGAAATTAAACTTACTTGGCCCCAGATTTCTTTGCGCCAACGGGTAGTGCTGGCTGTATAACGACTGGAGAGTGCCACCATAGTCTCTAAGAAATCCTGTTGTCGTGTAATACTTCAGAAAAGCTTTCTGCGATGCATTAGTTATTTCTTCATGGTTCTCAACGTGCCAGATCATGACATCGGAAGACTTATATAAACAGAAATTATGTCAGTTTATATTACCAGGTTGTCTTGAACAAAGAAGTAGGAGCATGACCGTCGTAACCTAAGGCCAGATTACATGTCATGCATGTAGGCTTGTAGTTCTTGCGGTGTTTAGATGCGGTTGTCTGGTTATAGTGAACACAATCAGTCAGTAGTTGATTTTTTCACAATACTGAAAATCACTTTGTGCAAACAGAAAGAAATTGAAATTTCATTTCAAGATGAATGGAGGCGTGGGGAAAAAAATATCCATGGAGCCCAACAGTAATCAACCTATTTCTCTATGGGGTAGGTAAACGTCACACAGGCTTTGCGATGTTTAAATTCGATTGAGCACAACGATTCGGTGAGCACAACGATGCATAGGTAACAATTAGTTTCCACAATGTATAATGCGATTATGATGATTACTGTAATGTACGCATATTCCACAGTGTTTAAAAATTTTGCTTTCGAAGTTTGACTCCGGTCTTTCTGCTACCCTACGTTGTTCACGATTTTTTATGATTGCTTTGTCGCTCCACGCGAAACATTGTTAATACTGTACTCGCTGTTATTCAAGAGGGAACCGACTTGCATATTATTTGTTCTTTTAGGGTAAGTGAAACTGCTTTCCGATTAATAAATGTCCATGTATAGACTGGAGCAAGTTCAATTTTCCGTCAACCTCTCTGGGGGTACGGACTACATTAATGTGTTCAATTTAGTACTGGTACCGTACCACTAGTAGAAAAATAGTAGAACTAGTAGAAAATTGAACTTAATATGCCTAATATTTGATTGATGAAAGGTATGTGCGACTCAACATAGTTGATGTTAGTGCTCAAATAATGTTCAAAATAGTAGTAACTGGCACCGGTACTTGTATAGTGGTAGGATGATAGGGGCAAATAAGGAGGGGTTTGCAAGTGCAGTTTTAAGCACCTTGTGTCCACGACACTTTTGAGACACCGTGACAGTGATACACTTCGGGTGGGTTAGAACACTTTTCTTATGGACACAATTTTGATTGATGAAAGTTTAGCGTATTCTCTATTTATTTGTGCTGCGTGTGATATATACTAGTAATATGATAGAGTACTAGCAGTATAAAAATCCCTACATACCTTGTAATAACATGCCATACCTGAAGATAAAAGTACGCCGGGCTTTTAAAATCTTTCTTGTGTGCATTTTCAGGTGTTCCAAAAGCAAGGTAATTTTCCCAAAGACCATATCCTGTAAAGATTCGGAGCATCAACTGTTTAACCGGTTCATAACAAAATTTCTGATTTGTTAGATCATAAAATCTTGATTCTCAAATTCTTACCATCGCGTGTTCCGATTGATTCCCCCGTATATTTATATTTTACACCACTCTCATTTCTATGAACACTGGCCACCAAGGTCCATCCACCTCCCGCTGATTCCATGTCACAGAACACCTGAGAATGAATTTTGAAATCCCACATCAGTGTGGAATAACTGATTAAATATTATTCTGTAAGACACATTGTATAAAAATGACCGACACTGGTCACTGGCAAAACTTTGTAACAAATGATAGTCTATACGCCAAAAACATAAAATTTTCCCTGATTGTGATTTGAGCTTGTGAGCATTATGAAAATACATGAGCACTGTAATACTACATATTGGTGACATGCACGCAGTAGCAGTACAAACAATAACGCGATGAATATGAGCTAAAAGTCCATGCATTCTAGGTATTTCATTGTTAACCATCTTTGCAAGCGTTCAGATATCAGCTAAGTAAAGTTTATGACTAATCTATTCAGTAAATTATTATGTATCTGCCAGTCTATATGATGTTGCGTTCAAATTTGAAACTAAAAATGCAAATAATATTATTCTCTAAATGTAGAATGCAATGTGCAACCTTAAAAAACGACGGTGATGAAGTTGAGTAATTGTATAAAATTCAGACTGGTTTTGGCCACCTTCTTTTATACGAAAACAAGAACTTGCTGGCGTAGAAGTTTGATAACTCTGATAACAAAAAACAGAATTTGGACATTAACACTACTGGAAAATATCGATGCAAATGATTTTAGGATAAGGTTGTACCCGGGTTTCGGATATACTCAAGTATATTCATCTGCGGTTATGGACGGAGTGCCATATTCGAAATTACATTCGACAAATGGTATATTCTTTACTCATTATGTATGGACAGTGTTCTTAATAGTAAATTAATTCACTTAGATTTTCAAATTCACTTCAACATCCGTGCGCAATCTTTTATCGTCTATATGTACAGACTATAATTCATACATTTTTAGCTTCAATTAATTCTTCAACTTTTTGCGTTTGGCTCTGATCCCGTAGTTTTGAAAATACCTAAGGAACCTAGCAAATATTAGTGATGACAATTAAATAACTCTTACTTTCGATCGCTCTCTCAAGGCGGTTATCAACCTGTAGAAAAATAATTGAAAGATAAATTAAAACGCCAATGCTTGTGGGTGCGCAAAATGCAATAAAACATAAATATTATTCGTTTTTGTTCCTTGTTAGGCTCTCTGAAATCATCAAAAAATGAAATTCGCGAGCGCCAAAGAGAATTAAACAGTAAACGTTTCCTAAACTGAAATATTCAAAAACATTTTTCATTTTACCTGTATAACAAGGATGATTCCACATACTGATAATATAATACTTATGACGACAGCGATAGATAAGACGACGTTGATAGGTGTGCATTTTAGAGTTTTGGTCTCGACAGTGGTATTGTTTGAAGTACCTGAAAAAGAAATTAATCTTCACATGTCACACGCAGTCATTGTGACATTTTTAACTTTGTTAAAATCTGCAGCTGTAAAGCTATAAGAAGAACCAAAAATTGCCTTTTATCAAAGGTTTTACTACTAGACGAAATTCTTTTTTTATTACTTTCTTTTTAAAGCAACATCTCAATCAATAAATTATTAGTTATTTGCAGATTAAGACACTGCTTTGAATTTACCACGGTTTCGGCGAAACACAGTCTATAGCCGAGAGTTAGTTAGAGACACCTAAATGAAGAATAAATTTCAGTTATACAGCCAAATCCTTATGTATCAGTGCCACGTCCACAGCAAAGATATAGAAAACCCCCGTTTAGCTAAAATACAAACAAAAATTTCAGCACTCACTAAAAGGACACTTAACTTCTAAACATTTGGGAAATTTACTGAAATATCACTCACCTCCATTCGAGTTACCCTGGATGGCGCGTGGTTGTTCGTATGTTACATTCTCGTATAGGTCTCCCTCCATTTCATTTAAAGTTTCTTCGTTTGCATTATATCGGTAGTCAATTGATAGGTCCCTTCTAGAAGATGGCGGTGGAGCAAATTTCTGGCTTGCCATATTTAATAATAAAACCTAGACAAAATATTTCCTATATTGTCTTGCAAGCGAACTGACTTAGTGGTCGATAAAATGAGACAAGCTCGTCATACTAGTACACGTATGTTGAAATTTTTTTTACCAAAAAAAAAAAAAAATACAAGACTCCAACTTTACAGTTTTGTAGTTAATACAATAATGAGGCAAAACCGACTTCTCAGATTTTAATATATTCTATCACACCCACGTCGCCGCAACCAACGTAATATTGTTTCCTCGTTAGAAGGTAGCACTAGCTGTACAGGCACGATTGCTTTATATGAATTACAAATTCAATATTTACGTGTTGAATAAAAAAAACTACCTTATAACCAGGGCTTCCGTCGGATTGCGCTAATAATAAAAACTAAGGACGACAGTAGGGCGAGTTACTGTCCTATTGTGACCAATGCCTGATTCAATGTTACGTGTTGAATGAAAAAACTCCCCTATTAGCAGGCTTTCGTCGGCTTACACCAATAAAAAATAAAGATGGTGGTAGGACGATTTACTCTCCCACTGCGACAATGCCTAATTAAAATTGAATAAACTAACTTGGAATAGGCAATTATTTGTTTCTATTTAAAAAAAAATCGACTTTACGTATGATTCCATATGCGAAACTGAAAATTGCGAAAAATGGAATCGTTTCATTATTTCAAAAATCATTCAAACCATGAATCGTTGGAGATCAGAGCTAACTCATTTTACCACCATCGTCAACAGTTCATTTTGACTTATAATGTTAAAAAATATATGTCGAGTATAAAACACACTAATGGCGCGGGTTTTAAAAATCATAAATTAAAGATAGGTATCGCCCTGTCAGTAACAGATATAGGTATATGTTATAGTATAACCTATAAATGTGAATTGTAGACCAATTGCAGTATAATATGAGGAAGTGGCCGCAAAGTCACTTATTGTCACAGCATCGCCACGTTTATATAACAATCATTGAATGATGCGTAATCTCCCCCGCCTCCTTGATTTGAAATATACTCGACCTCTTCACCGATTGACAAACTATATAGGATTGTGGGCTACATACTATGAATTTTGAATATATTAGGCCTCTTTAGTACCATTCAATACAAAACAGATAATGGGACTCGGCGATGTCTGATGGTATATTTGTGCATCTCATATTTATCACGGCTCTGCTTGGAATAATTTGGTTTAGTGTGAGCCATTTTTTCGAAGTAACTAACAACCTTACTTACCCATTTGAACGAAATGCCACAGCTACGTGTGCGATAATTTGGTGTGACGTGAGCCGTTTTGTTCCAAGTAGCCAAATGACTTTAGTCATCCAATTTGAACGTAATGACGTCGTAAATCAACTTATCGACGCGACCGAAACCATGAAAGAATACTCAAGTAAGTAAAAGTTATCATCCTCACCGCCTAAAAGATTTATAGTAGGTTATACGGTATTGTGCACCTTCAATTTCTTCAACGTTTACTAACAAGCTGATTTTACGCGACTACGTCGCAGAAAACATCGCATCGCATCTGATAATGCCACCTCATCATAATTGTCATAGACACCTTGCATACGAGTATAAATAATCACACGAATATAGGAAAAGGGCATTTTTTCCCCAATTTCTCTTTTAAAGTAATATCGTACGTAAAATCACTAGTTTATATGATTTTTAAGTTTGACATAAAATTATATAAATCAGTTATATACACCGATCTCTTTTCAGAGGTGACACAATTGTCGAAACAATAAATTTACACTACACAAAATGTACTGTACGGTGAATCCCATTGCTTAAATGAAACCAATATATCAATGCAATATATTGCTATATAATATATTGCACTTTTGAGGAAATATAATCTAATTTAACCAAGTCTACCCTATTTAGTATAAAGAGGTTATGGTATTTGGTTTTGGTTTTCATTTTTGTAAATTTATTGTGGGGTTGCCTACATAATAGTCAACCTCGTCAGGGGCTCCATAAAACCAATAGTTTAAGAACCCCTCGAGACCGATAAGCGATTGAATATATCTTGATCCCAGCTTGTGTACACAACATTATCAACAGTTATGCAATATAGAATTTCAATGACACATGGACTCAATCGACCAACCATTCTTAGCGTGGATTTCTGAAAGCGTTTATGCTATTTTCTGTGTCATTAAAATTCTATATTGCATAACTGTTGATAATGTTGTGTACACAAGATGGACAGGTTGAAAAAAGGAATTCAAATATGAAAGAGCTTGCTATCGACTTTGGAAACATACGTTGATATCTCAGCTTTAATCCTCAATTTGGTTACGTAGGCTACTCACCACCATAAATCATATTTGGCACTTACAAGAAGTGTGATATGTTAATTCGGCAATGCCTATTGACACACGGTCACGGTACTATTTTCAGGCAGACAGATAAAACATAGTTACCTAAGCCAAATACGGACCTCTTTTCAAAGGCGACACAATTTGCGAAACAAAAACATCACACTACACAATATATGTTGTACGGTGAATCTCGTAACTTAAATGGAACTAATATGTCAATGCAATATATATATCAAATTTATAATATGGGGCCCATATTTTTGAGTAATTAAATTGGAGTTATATAGATAGCCTGCCACTCATGCGGAAATACATTCTAATCTGACCATGTCTATACCCAATTTTGTATACAGAGGTTAGGTAGCTCTCAAGAGCCCAAAGTTTCTTAAAGTGCACCATACCGAGACCCATGGCTCCGTAAAAGAAACGGCGCCGTGAGCTATCTGGTTTATTATTTAATATTGAATTGGCTAATTTTGTAACTGTCCAAAGAAACAATAACAGCATTGCGAAAATTTGAAACCGCAATATGAATTTGTTTTTTGGTTTTCATTTTAGTAAATTTCTTGTGGGGCTTCGTAAATAAGAGTCAACCTAGCAAGGGGCTGCATAAAACCAAAAGTTTGAGAACCCCTCTAGACCAGTGGTTCCCAACCGCCGGTGCCGGTCCGCGAGAAAGTTCGTTGTTTTGTTGTTTTTATGCCGTCTCAATCGCTTTACCGAATACAGGGTTGCGTTGGTTTATTACGCAATTTCTCTTCCGCAGTCCTATTGCGAAATCTTGGCGACGACTTTCGTGACATCTTGGCGACGAGTAATCACATATTCCGTTTTTTCGGCTCCGATTAATCGTGAATGCGCTCCATCAAATCTCGCAAAATTCAGAAACCTACAAATTGGCAATCGTGCTTTATCTGTTCTACATGCTTTTCATGATTAATATGATCATCCATACAAAGCGATATGCATATTTCTTTGTTTAAACCAAAAAAAAGTCAAGAACAGTATAATATACCAGTAGGATATGAACTTGTTGCGACCCTGCACTTGGTCACGAGACGCTCAAACAAGCATGGGCCGCTAAGATCTTTTTTCAGTATTTGAGCCTGTTGCCAGGTTACCGACGACCCTGTCATTGTAATGTAAATTCATTTCGTTTGAGGCGTCGATCAACTGGAGAGGAATTAATATGATGAACCAGATGAAAAAGAAAAAGCTTGATTAAAATTGAGATACTACTTTACAGTCCAATTTTAAAAAAGAATCACTGTCACAATTTTGGATGTCTCTTGATAACGAATACCCATTGCTAAGCAATCAAAACGTTGTCCGTATTTTCAACTAGTTACTTAAAAGCGTTGTGCGAAAAAATATTTTCATCACCAGCTCTAATTAAAACGAAATAAGGAAATTGGCGCCGCTGCAGAGCTACGTGTTGCAGAAACTTTTTTGAGGCCTCGTTTGCAATCCTATATTGGAAACGAAACTGTAGCAAAATTTTCACTGGAGTTAATTATGTTTGTACATGATTTTGCATGTACATGTTTTTATGTGAGATATTTTATGTGTGCCTTTCTTACTCACAGTGGATGCCCAGCACTGCATTTCATTACGCAAATATATGGTATTAGTTTGTGTTTCACCCATTTCAATTTTTAGCCGGCACATTATTTGAAAGGTTTTTGAGTGTGCCGTTTTTGTCTAAAAGCGGACATTGCTTTATATTACGCAAATAAATGCTATTCTTCTCCGTTCCGGTGATTTCAATTTTTTGCCGGTCCGCGAGAACATTTAATTTTACTGGTCCGACAGGGTGGAAAGGTTGAGAACCACTGCTCTATACCGATAACCGATTGAATATATTTCGCCACACTAAATGGAAAGGGTTCTAGGACAAAATAGTAAAAACGCTTCCAGAACTCAGAAACACCATGCGAAGTGTGGTTGGTAGATTGTGTTCATGTGTCATTGAAATTCTATATTACATAACTCCTGATAATGTTGTGTACATAAGATGGGAACGTTTAAAAAAAGGAATTCAAGTATGAAAGAGCTTGCTATTGATTCTGGAAACATATGTTGATATCTCAGCTTTAATCCTCAACTTGGTTACGTACTCACCACCATAAATCATATTTGGCACTTACAAGAAGTGTGATGTGTTAATTTGGCAATGCCTATTGACACACGTCCATGGGGCTTTTTTTTAGGCAGACAGATAAAATATTGAAATGAAGTCAAATGTGCACTAGAAATAGAATTATAGCAAATACAGCAGCAAGATGAACCATTATAAATAGCAGGAGTATTTCGTTAGGCCAGAACAACCAGCTTGGATGTTCTATACCTCACCTTGGAATGAACCAGTGGGCTACCGATGAATAAGAGTGCTTCAAACAAAATTATTTGTCAGTACTCTTTGTCAATTAAATGAAAATGTGTATAACCATTCAATCTGATGTTCATGGAATAACTCTAATAAAATGACCATGTTTATTTTTAATATATTTTAATAAAAAGTGGAAGTGTGAATAAATTTTTAAGTCAGTGAAATATATTGAAAATATACGGCAAATATATTAAGTAATATCAACCGAATACAAGCTATAACGAAGATAGACATTAAAGTGCGTTTATAATTGTCAGATATCACCAGACTATCGTAAAACATGAATAAATCTTGCTTTATTGTGGTCTTTGTTGGACTGATTGGCTTAGGACAAGGAGGTAAGTCGTGTACTTTTTTCGTGAGACATGAGTATTCACAAGACTAACATTGACTGAAAATAACAACGCTGTATTTTACTTGTTTTTAATCTTCATAATTACAACCTTGTATAAAACGAAAAACTTCATTTTCCATACCAGATTAAAACTCAAATAAAAATTGGAACTTGCGTTGAGTTTTTTTTTCATTTTTGTGTTGTCAATTTATCAGCACATGAGCATTGAAGCAAATCATTACAGTCACGTTAGATAAAAAAGAAAATTGTAACCGTTTCGAAGCCATATTTACATTTATGTTTATTTAGCCCTGCGATCAACGCTTACGAGAAACAGAATAGAATACACATTCTGGACTGGTGACGTTGACCACGTATCATTCCATGATGCTGTGAGTGCCTGCTCTTACCGCGGAAAGCATCGTTTGGTAGCAATTACTGACGATACTGCGAAACTTACAGTATGGCAACTTGTTGAGCCATGGTAAATGAAGCTGATTGTTTTTCTTTTATGTATATTTAGGGGAATTTAAATTTCAATAAATCTGCCGATCAAAATTTATAGTTAAGTTAGTGTCATGCTGTGAGATATTAATATAAATTTGTAAGCGTTAGAGAGTAATTGTACTTTATTGTTCAAAGGAATTATTGTAAGTTACATTTCCTTGTATTGTTTTAATAAGATAAAGGACGAATTGAATTATGAATAAGTTGGTAAATAGTTTATTTCGATTTCTCATATAGATATCACAAACAGATATATAAAATACAACAGACAAGTTCGGTAAAGAGATAAACGTTTAAGAAGTGTAAAGCCCGTCTCCCACTGACTTTGGAATACTTAATCAACTATCTTTTTTTTATAAATGTAATGTATTGACAGGAAAACCAGAGACGTATGGATCGGGCTCTCAGACAATTTTGTCGAACAGACATGGTCATGGTTTGATGGAACGAGAGTAGACGCCGTACCACAATATTGGTTTGTACATGATTTTTTGTTTGCTTGAAGGATATTGTCATCAAATTATGACAACCATTGTAACAATTTGCGAATAAGCGCTGAAGGGGAAATACTTATTGCCGGTACGTCGTCCGGTTTCTCAACAAATTGTCGATTTAGTTAGAGCTTCACCATTTTGAAGTTTATATACGTTGCAGGGGTGCAGAGCCAACTTATGACGAAACACAAAACTGTGGATTTTCTCCCGATGGAAACCTCTGGTACGAACGCGTATGTGATGAACCACACGGCTATATCTGCCAAAGAGGTTAGTTAATAATTAGGTACATGTTTGGTATTTGCTTCACCAATATGAAAAAATTGAGTTATAACATTTCCATGACAATTTTAATGTCAAGATGACTTTGTCGTACTTGTTGATATAATTCCGATGAAATTTGGATCTGTAGCTCTTATCCCTTTACTGGCCGTAACTTCGCCTTGTTGTCTCCTTTATTTGTGAATGCGGGGACTGTGCTTTAGTCAAATGTTTGTTGAAAAATTAAACTGCTTCTGCTATTCTGTCACATTAATAAAAGGTCATACTTTTGCCTGCCACAACTTTGAAACCTTTCATTTGAAGTCTTATATTTATTTGACAAGTAAGTGTACATAACGATCGTTTCAATGTTATGTTGTTGTTCTTGTTCATATTCTTCGTCATGATAAAATCACTTTTCTCTTCGAATACTGGACCAGTTGCTTCGAAATTTTCCGAGGTTTGAGGATGAAATTTTTCTCCAGAAAGCCATTACTTTTATTTATTTCAAATATTTCAGTTAGCTCTGTGAGATTTGTTTTTGTTTGCTATGACGTCACCGAACGTTCTGCGGACGCATATGCTGCCATCGAACGTCGATGGTTCGTAACGAAATCCTTGCTTTGCTAAGATTTTTGGACTGGTGAATGGCGAATAGTGCCGTACTTGGTGTTATATTACAGTAGTGACTCGGACCATCTTGCAATTTCAGTTCACGCTGTCACAAAACAGAAACTTCTGAAGATAGGGCAGTTCCGGTACCGTAATACAGGGCGGTGACACCGAACTAACTCGTAACTGTCTCGTAAAAGCGGGGCTTGCAGTCACTGTTATAACTGATGTCTTTAAATTTTGGTGCTTTTCTTGGAATCGGTAAACGTGTCCATATATTCGAGCATAGCTCCCTTGTATTTAATTGGGGATATTGAAAAATAAGATTTTGCGTGTGAAACCCTAATCGTCACAGAGAAAATATCATTCTAAATACCTACCGGTATACTGTTTTTTTTAAACCGCAGAAAACAAAATTGGTGATACCAGAGCCCAGCTGACACTTTCAAACGAAGAACCTACGGTATACGAATCTGGCAACCTCCAAATTGACTGTTCTGCATCCAGCGCACTTTCGGAAATGACCTGGTACAAAAATGGAAAAAAAGTTCATCAAGTTGCAGGAACAAATGGTGTCACTCTTGTGATAGAAAATGCAACAGTTGAAGACGCAGGATTTTATACATGCTCTGCTACAAAATTTGTTGATGGCTTGGAGCAAAAAGTGATGGCAATGGCCAAACTAGAAGGTAACATTTTTGTCAGTAGTGAGCCTCATTCATGTATATCAGATTAGACGTTTTCAAAGATACAACTGAGCTCTGATTGACTGCTTTAAATGAATTTATAAAGTTTTCAAAGTCTCTCAACACTTCTGTACTTTTTCGTCCCTGTAGTCTACTTTGGTAGAAAAATAAATACATTTGTTTTTAACAGGTATTTATCTCAGCATCAGTTATTTTTTCCGCCTAGTATAGCACTAAAAAGCTAAATAACAAAAGTGAATGAAAATAACAAATTAGTAATTATTAAGTTGGAAATAGGATTTGTTTAAATATTTGAATTTCCAGTGCTATCTTCCAGTGCTATCTTCCTAACCCAAACCCTGACTGGATAATTACTGATTTTCCTGTTTTGAACATTGGCGAGGCTTTGTACAACAGATCTCAATGGGCCAGTTTAAGAGACCCTTTCACGACAGTCATATAGTACGTTATATATATGTAATGTCTAGCGAGGTAGCGATAAGATAATTTGATAACTTTCTACTTTGTAAAAATTAAACAATGTTTTTTCTTTCCAGTTCTCCGTAAAAATTAAGACTGGGGAAAAATGAAAAATCGTAAGTATTCGATTATTATTTGGCGGAACACGTGGTTTGATTCACCAGTTATGCTTATCAGTCAGTTCAAATTAATCCAAATATTCTAATGCTATTGATTTCCAATCCTTTGCTTCAGATATATGAAGTCAGAGATTTACATTTTTAGCGTTTTAATATATTTTGTTGCGTAATGTAGAAAACGATGAATTTTAAGCTGGCTGAAAGCATCGAAAAAAGTTTTGACAATGTTGTGCAATGCCGCCATTTTTGGACTGCTTAACACAAGATTCATTACATCTTTCCATTATTATATCTGGCATCTATTGTTCGTCTCAACCATTCGCTTTCCAAAAAAAACCTCTTAGTTGTATACTTCTGATAAAGAACAACTTTTGTATTGCAGCACACGAATGCAGATGGAAGAAAAACTAATTTTGGTGAAAATTATGATAATTTCGAATGATCTGTTATTATATTCTTTTATTCGTTGAATACCTCATTGATCATACTACATGTGTGTGTGTTGACAGCTTTTTACTGTATTATCTATCTCCGTATTTCCATTGATAACGTGCCTTTCAGCCTTTCTTGTAGGAGTCGTGCCCAAAGTCTGGTCTACTAATATCTAAACAACACCAACTATTCTGAAGATTAAATCGAAATGTAATTGGTTGAAGTCAAATTATTATGGAATAAATAAAAGAATGAAATCAAGCTCTTTGTCGTCATGTTTATAATAGTTCACAGCCTAGAAATATAACGCGGTCCGCTCTCCATATAGCATAGGTCAGAATGGCTGGTATTCTCCTAGAAATTTAGTCAAGTTAGGATACTTCGTTTACCAGTTACGGATGAAATATTTGTTTGGCGAGTTCTTGTGCATGTGGTAGAGGGATTTACACGGGTTTTCGCGAATCCGTTCTTGGAATGCCTTGATGATCATCGAAACGTTTTTTTGACGTTAAACGACCGCAGCTAAACTGCTGACTAGTAGCGCGACATTTAACATTTCAAAAATTCGGTATTATATGCAGTACTGGATTACCGATTCAAGAAAAATTAGCACGTGCTCGGGGCACCAAGGAAATGGGGGCACCACAAAAATTTTAATAGACGATCTGCAATAGAATTTCAAGGAATGCATTTATGATAGAATGGAAAACTGATTAACCATAATCTAGTACGGTACTTTACATTGTTTAATTATCTTATATTTCATCAGAATCCGGGGAAAGATGGCGTGCGGCCTCGACGTAGTTTCAGAATGAATAGAAACATCGCACGCACGTTTTAGTGCGTTTCATCTTTAGTGTATGTGGCATGTTTTACCTGTCGCGGGGCTCTTAAGACAAAATTTACGGCGTTTTTCGTTTTATTTTTACTGTGACATCGTTTCAATCTGTAAAGATAATTAATGCCGCATCAGTTCAACCTGAGATGTTCTATAAATTTAGAAACAGTAAACCAGAGATTAGACCAGTGTTTCTTAAAATAAGACATGTTTGATATTTGTAAGAAATAATCAACAATGAGTGCGATACCATTTTACGTAACAATAGATGATTATGGCAGCTGTTCTCTTGTGCTTGTCTGATTTCCCTGGCAGCACAATACTCAAAACCACATTTCAAAGTTTATACCTCGATTACAGTTAACGCATTTGCTGTAACTTGAAACAGTTAATTTACAAATAAGATGCTTTACTCGTTTTCATAAACTTACGGTTGTGTATGAATAAAAAGCTAATTCGTTTCTTGCCATTTCCAAATCATAAACAAATTACCTTCAAAAATATTACAATCAATGCAAACGATGTATGTTGAATAGTCGGTTGCAACCATGATCTCCGTGTCGCCATTTTCAATAGATTAAACTGTAACCGTACACACATGGATTATACAAACGGTTGTGTTACGACCATAGTGATCACAATCGAAGTCACACTATATAAAAATATTGAATCAATCAGATTATAAAATGTTATTTTTCAAAACTGCCCTCGTTTTCTAATGAGTTGGTTGGTGTATTAGATATCAGATATTGCTTTTTTGCTAAAATGGATTCCAGTGAATAGTTACATTTTTAATAAATCGAATATTCTAGTATCTCGCCCGTTGGCCCAATACCACATTTTCACATATATACTTATTTCCATGCAAGGCTGTATTCACGAAAAAAGCTCATTCTTCAGCTACCCCTGTCTGCTGCTTTCGAACATGTATATAATTTGTGTACTTATTTGAAATTCCTCATGGTAACTATAAGTTTGTAAAACTTAATCGCCGTGAAATCCTGATGGATTCCTTTTAAAAATAACACAATACCTTCCTGCACAGCTGCTGTGTCATGGACGTGAGAAGAAACTCGAGAGTCGGCTTCTCTATGATCTGCGTCTTCTGTATTTATAGAAATAGTTCCAATTTACAACGAATAAATCGGGTAGTGTTTAACAACTGAGAACTCACGAATTCCTCGATATGTTGCTGTTTCCTTGGTTTTGAAAAGTGCGACCACGAATTCTTTAGGCTCAGATATATGTTTGAAAATATAAATAACGTGTAATAGACTGCTTGTCAAAATACAATTATGAAGCTGCTTCAGATTCATTTTATATTAAGCTTACTAAAACAGTGTTTCTCATTATCTTCTCAAAAAGAAATAGCAGGTGAAATTCACTTAATTAATGTGCTTCGCAGGGTACATCCAAAATTTATTTATCTGCACAATCGATGTGCTTTTGCGCCCTAAAGATACCAATCTGACGATGAAATCTATTGAAACAAAGTTAAATATTATCGAATATCAATTAAGATATATTTTTGTTATCACCCAGAATTATCAAATTCCCATAGTTTCAATGATTGTGAGATTGAGCACGCATTGCAGCACCATATTGCAACGAGAACACATACTTGTACAAAAATGAAGTAAGTTTATTAAACATTGTTTACCCTTGGACTTCTGTTTGTGTATGATTATACCAGAACGTTACAGTAGTCTAAGACGCTTTGCACAAACGTTATTCTCTCCCTAGAACACTGGTTTTAAACCAGTGAGCCATAGCTGGTCCACAGGATCATTTTGAGGTGGGCCACAACCTATTAAAAATTGCTAGGGTTGCTGATAAAGTTAATTAAATTTGATGGTAGTAGCAATGGATGATGCTGTTTTTTGTTACAGGGTGGTAATTTTAACCTAATTATTATTAAAAGAAAAGTGTCAATTTTCGCAGAAAAAAATCCATGTTTTTCGTGAAGTTTTTCCCCAGCATGAAAAAGTTAGTGGGCTACAAAATTATTGTACAGCGAAAATGTGCCACGAAAGAAAAAAGGTTGAGAACCATTGCTCTAGATTTTAGAATGTGTTGTATAAGCTAAACTATCTTCAGGATGTTGGAGACAGACTTTCATACGCTGCGCAAAATTGTCTTGGTCCATTGGTTTTATGCTGAAGCGCACTTTCTGCTACCTGGGCATGTCAATAACAAAAATATCGTTTACAGGGGCACATCGGGAAGTCTTGCAGAGAATGCCACACCCAGTGCGCGGCATGTGTAGCCATTTGCGTACGAAATGTTCCGGACGAATATGGAAACGAATATCAAACGGTGAATATGAAACATTATGTGACGGTGCTAGCGAAGTGCTGGATATTATTTGAACGACGTCGATGATTGAGATGATTAGTGGTTTCAGCAAAAATTTTTGTAAACAAAATTAGATAAATTTTCTCGAATTTCGAAGAAGTAACTAAGAAATTTAAGGAATTTGTTTCTTAGGTCACTCTGTATTTTGCTTATTCTTTGCGAAGTATTTCATTATTTTAACTTATATATTTAATACAGTATATCGCTTTAATCAAAGTTTTCATTTCAATGTCTATTAACTCTTCAGGTCACAAAGACTTGAATACAAAACTTGCCTCCGACCAGTCCACATTCTTCTTTGGTGTCAAACCACATTTGTCATGAATGAACGAGGTTGATTGACTATGGGCATCTATAGCCATGCACAGTTATATACACTAATACAAATAGGCTGCATATCAACATAATTATTTTGCAGTTTATACAACCTTCCGCCAGCAACACTTCCAGGATCATATCGGCTGATGTGAGTCATTCCATATAGATATCCGACGGGATAGGAAATGACGTTTCCAATAATACTTCATGATTTCTTAGCTTTGTTTACAATCCTCCCCCATGTACTCGTATATAACTGCACATTTTCAATGTGTACTTCACAGTTGTAAAGTTTCAGGTTCTTTGGAGAATAAAAGGGGCTAAATATAATTCAGTAATAAAATAAAATTTATTCCGAAATTAGCGCCTCTTGAAATTGAAGATTTAAAAAAGGTTAAAGTAAGAAATATGGACCCCAAAGATCTCGATGCTTACGGAGTTATCCATATATATTCTTCTCACCGTATCATAAACTACCGCTCATCAGTATATTTTCCGAAAGAATATTATTTTCAAACATTTTACTATGCTTTGAAATAAATAAATAAAAAGAGAAATGCCCATAACATTAAACGAAAACGAGAAACGACTACATAGAAATATCAAAATTAATAAACCACAAGTTGAGTAACGTTTTAGCTCAAAAATATATGTATGTCAAACACATAGTTAACAGGTTGAAAGATTTATATGGGTCGTGAAAGCAATTCATCGCATAAATTGATGAGGGATATCACAAATTAGTATCAAAGTAGTGCCAACCAATATCTGAACAACAAGAGGAAATTTAAATGAGGACTTCGTCTGAACGAATCATTGGATTGACGTTGTACGAAGAATTGCGGCCACATTAGGGGTTGTGCTCCCGTGACCGCACTCAACCCCAATTACCGATTTCGAAAGAGTCATGAATATGATTGATCACCCGGAGTGACCCACTTGTCGGACGTATCCCACGTGTCCTGCTTGGAAAATGAGGCACTACATATATCAATTTAATATGTTCTGTTCGTAAACATAGTTCGCAGAAAACTAGTTAATCATGTCTGTCTCCTACAATTCAAATAGGAAATAAATATTATCTGAATATCAGTATCGAAATATTTTTATAAATAGTAATCACAATAGTTCAATCAGGTATAATTTACTTATACGCCAATTACCATCACATTGGGACAAGTATGACACGTGGAGCTAGTGGGACACGTGGAACACGACATTTCCGAGACATCGAGAAAAAACCCTGAAGGTCTGGGTAATACAAATACAAAATAGATTCATTACTCACGAATCCACGATTATGATATCGTTAACACTATAGCAGTGGTTCTCAACCGGAGACCGGTGGCCCCTAGGGGGGCCACGAAGCATTTCAAGGGGGGCCACGACACAAGGCTGATAAAATTGATTATAAAGCGACTTCGTTTGCATACTTTCCCTTTAAAATAAAATTTCCCGTTCAGCGTTCGCCGCTGTTTCATTGTCTGAATAGGTTATTTGAGTTCGCAGGGTGTATTCACTTTCTTGTGTGTGAATTGTTTGATCATAATGGGATTTGGAATCTACCAATCAAAAGAGTTCGCCGGCAAGCCGTCTATACTGTAGTTTTCACTAGACTGCGAGATAACCCATTTATAAATTCCTAATGCCCATATTACGAAAATGAAACGACAATTACGTTGGCTTTGGCTTAACCAAAGTAAATCGAGATAACAGAGAATTTGCTCAATGCTTGTATGTAATGAGCAAT